CCTAGTTTCACTGGGCTAGTGAAGCAGAATTATCTTGGAGTCTTTTTTGAGCAGGTTAAAAGTCAACAGAACCTCTAGAACTTTTCCTTCCTCTTCCTCCATCTTTTTCCTAAGGCTAGACCTATAACCCAGAGGCCCTGATTTTTTTTTTTTTTTTTGACTACTGTGGTTTGAACTTGGCTTCACACTTGCTAGCCAGGTGCTCTTCCACTTGAGCCACACCTCTAGCCCAGACATTGAATCTAAGATGAGCAGGAATAATTAGTAGTTGGGGAAAGTTATAAGAATAAGTTCTACCAGCTTTTGAGATGAAGAAAAATGGCTGGGTGTTTCCTTTCATTTGCTGAACATTTACTAACTGTGTTCTTTGTGTAGCAATATTCTGCCAGGTGATTTAAAATACAGCTTGAGAACAGTGAGCTGAAAGCCTTAGTTGACTGACTTTTCAAGGCATAAGGAGTTAGGGGTCATGATTGCCAGAATTTGGAAGCTGGCAGGAGATTACAGTCATAAAGGGATCCTAAACCTAGAGCTTTTCTCTGCCAAAGCAAAAATTTGGAGGAACAGAGGTTGTTACTGACTGAATACAACATCTCCAGAATTTAGATTCTCACCACCCTCTGACAATTAAAGCAAAGATGAAAATGTCAGAGAGAAAGCCAGGTGTGGTTGTACATATCTGTAATCCAGCATTCAGGAGGCTGAGGCAGAAAGATCACAAGTTCAAGACCATCCGGAGCTACATAGTAAGAATCTGTGTCAAAAAAGAAAAGAGCGGGGCATGGGTAGCCCCTAATCCCAACAACGTGGGGCATAGCTAGGAGGATTACAGTTTGGAGCCAGCCCAGGCAAAAAATTAGTGAAACCCTATCTCAAAAGAACCAAGCCAGATGTGGTAGTACTCATTTGCAATCACAGATACTCAGAAGGTACAGGTAGGAGGATCTTGGTCCTAGGATAGCCAGGCAAAAGTGTGAGACCCTATCCAAAACACAAACTAAAAGCAAAAGGGACTAGTAGTATAGTTCAAGTGGTAGAGTACTTGCCTAGCAAGCATGGAGCCCTGAGTTTAATCCCCAGTACCACCAAAAAAAGAAAAGAAACTATCAGAAGAATTCCCTTCTCCACAGCACATTGTATCCAGAGGCAGCAGGGCCTAAGGTTTAATATATCAGTTTTGGGGATGACCCTCTGACTTACGTGGGCCTGAAAATAGGACATACATACCTGACTCAGGATGGTAGTTAAGCCTGTCTCCATGTAGGTTGTTAAGAACAAGATAGCCAAGGGGCCTAGATAATATAGATTGTCTTCTGCCTGGACCTCTTGAGCTTATAAGTACTTTGGATCTGTACTGTCACTTAGTCTTCTGGGCAATTTTATGCAATATAGATAATACCACTGCTTCAGTTGAAATTGGTTAGGTCTCCAAGTTCTATATTCATTCCCTTACCTGGGAAGATAGCCTGTTCTTTAGTGTGACTTCCGTTACTGGAGGGTAATTCATTTATTTTGTGTACCAGTTTGACTCTAGAGAGAGTCACATTATTTCCATTAACTGGGGGCACCTCACTGTAATCCCTAAAGAGTACGGTCTTCCACACTTGAAATTGGAAACATTTGGATGGAGGTCCAGGGTAGAGAGATGTGGTCCATTTTCTGTAGGAAGGAATAATTTTAAGCAGTGTCTTACCAACCTGCCTGCCGCTGTATTGCCATGGAGGTACCTCACAGATATGATTTAGTCAGTATGTGCCCAACTGAGCCTGTGCCCTCAGCTAGGCCCGGTGATGCACTGAGAAGAATCCAGACAGGAATCAGACCTGGCATCCGTGTCCGTAGAAGGGACAGAAGAGGAAGTAAATAAATTAACTAGAAGGCACAAATGCTGTGACCAAGGGACAGTGTGACCAAACACATTGTACTTGGGTATGGTGGAGGTATGCTGATGCCTAGAGAAGTTTGGGTTTATGGTGAGTCTTTAAACCCTGCCCAGGTACTTACTGAGAAGCAGAGGATCTACTTTACCAAATACAGAGGTATGGAAGTACAGAGTATTTGGGCAAATGACCTTGGGCATTTGACTTCATGATGTTGAGGATAGAGAATAAAATATCTAGTAAGTCTTGGGACTTGAAGTGTGGCTCAAGTGGTAGAGTACCTGCCTAGCAAGCATTTTAAAGCCCTGAGTTCAAACCACAGTAGTGTCAAAACAAACAAACAAAACCCTACAACAAAACAAAACACTGTGTAAAGTCACCTTGCATTCATTGCCTATGAAAGATTCTTGCACTCATAAAATACAACAACCATTTATTGTTTCTCTTTGCTCCTGTCATGCTAATAATTATTGCCTTGTGTTAAGCAAAGTATTATGTGCCTAGCCCTGGACTGAGTGCTTTATTGTATTTAGTTCTCAGTGGATCCTACAGATTAGAACTTAATTCCATTTCACAGATGAGTAAACAGAAAGGGTAAGTAGAACTTAATCAGTATCAATCAGATGGTGAATGATGCTGGCCCAGAATTAATGCCAAAGCAATGTTTCCACTGCACTACAGTGCTTCCCACAAGTACTTTGACACTAAGTATCATCATATTGATCACACAGTTAACTTACTAGAATTGTGTATTTGGTGTTTGGTTTTTTTTTCCTTCCTTTCTTTGACTTCATGCTAGGCAGGTACTTTATCACTTGAACTGTGCCCTCAGCCCTTCTTGCTTTAGTTATTTTCCTAATAGGGTCTCAATTTTTTGCCCAGGGCTGGTCTTAGACCACAGTCCTCCTACCTATGCCTCCCAGCAACTGGAACCACAGATGCATGTCAGTATATCTGGCTTTTTGTTTGAAATTGAGGGGGAGCAGGGATCTTGTTAACTTTTTTGCCTAGAATGACCTCAGACTACTATCCTTCTGATCTCTACCTCCTATATCTTTGAATAGTGCATTTGAATTCTTGCTCATATCTATAAAACCATATACATTAAAAATTTCAAATGTGCAAGGCCCTTGGTTCAATCCCCCAGCACCACCCAAAAAAAATAGTTTTAAGAATAATTTTACTCATACAAGATAATCATTCTATGTAGTGACTTTGGAACCTAACACTCAAGTGAAATAAAACTACTATGTTAAAATTCCTGTCCTGGAGTTTGCCTTGATACTATCACTATCATTACAGGGAATGAGACTCACAGATTGGCCTTTCCTTCTCCATCAAGAGTTACTATTGCACTATACAGCTATGGAAAGTTTCCTGAATTACAGTTCTCAAAAAGTTCTCCTTTGTCTTAAATTTCTGTGAATGTCATCCTTCCCCATCAACCTTCCACCCTTTTGTCAGATACTCACCAAGGATGGATTCCTTTTGGAATTAACATTAAGTAACTGCCTTTCTCATTGAGATCTTCCATTAGGCAGTATCTTTTATGAATTCCACTTGTAAAATTTTTATCTCTCTGGTACTCTTTTTTTTTCCAACCACTTTGGTTCCTTTCTTTTTGAGAAACAGGGATCCAGGTCAGTGTAATTGTTACATTGCATATTTAAGGATAGCCTGATGCCAACTCATTGTGAGAAGTAAATTTCACATGAAATAGATTATGGCACCCTCTGCAACATATTACCTAGTGGAAAGTAAGTTTGGAAGATGGTTAAGTTACCTGTTATTGCGGGACAAACCAAAGAACCAATGTCTTAAAACACCACCATTCACTATTTCTTCTGAGTTCGCTGCCTGATTGTTTCTGCTGATCTGGGCAGACCTGTCTGATCTCACCTGAGCTTGCTCACCACCTCTGATCAGTTGGCAGATTAGCTGGGAAAGATTCCATTTTCTGCATGTATCTCTCACATCTCTGGCAGCCAGCCTGGTCACACCCTCATGGCATGGCAGAGGCACAAGAGTGAGCAAGCCTAGCCATGCAGGGAAACAAGGAGAAGTACATATGCACTGTTCAAGCTTATGCCTGCAGCATATCTACTAAATCCTATTGGCCAGAGAAAGTGACGTGGCTAGTGTTAGAGGGAGGTACTACAGAGTTGCAGGATAAGCCATTAATTTGAGAGCATTAAAAGCAATTTGTCTCCAATCAGGACCCCTCAATGCGAAAGAAAATCTTAGACTTATATTACTGAGTCAAATTTGTCCTTGAAGGGTCATAACAGGCCAAGTAATGACTGTATTGGCTATTCTAGAGCATGCACAGAGCTAGGCACTTTACCTGCTTTTGCAGCAATCCTCATAACAACTCTGTAAGGTAGGTAAGAATCAGAGCTCAGGGAAGTTAAATAATTTGCTCAAGGTCATCTGGCTATATGTGGTCAGGCAGAGAGTAGAATGCACATCTGTCTGACCCCAAAGTACAGGTTCTTTTCGTCATCCTCACTGCCTCTCAAAAGAACCAGAGACAGACTTACCTCGTTACCTACAAAATTTTCGAGTTGATGCTTTTTTACTAGTTCTCCAAACCCTTTCTCTAAAATGTTGCTGTTATTCTAAAATAATTACACAGCTCTCCAGAAAACCCACAAATTCTCCCAAACTCTCCATTGACTTAAAGCATACTTTCCTTCCAGATGGGGATTGTCTGTAATGTTGCACAGACAGCCCAAGAATTGTGGCCCTTTGCAGGCATGTCAAAGAGGAAGAAGGGCCATCTTTTCTTGATCCTTTGTGATTTGTGTACATCTGGGCATTAGGACATTTGAGCATGAGCTTTGGAGTCAGACTTTACAGGGGTTCAACCACTCACTAGCTCTATAACCTTGAGCAACTCATTTAGCGTCTTGAAATCTGTTTCTTCATCTAAGAAGCAGGGGAGGGGGGAGTAAGAACACCTTGTTTGCAGAGCTGTTACAAGGACTAAAACTAAATTATGTTTATAAAGTGCCTAACCCAGTGTCTGGCATGTAATAAGTGGTGTTACTAATACTGTTAGCATCCTTTTTAAGGAGAGCCTTTCCCCTCCTGGGAAATCTGTGTCTGTCTGTTGGACAGGTACCCCCCACCTCCAGCCAGTCTGTGCAGACTTGCTGCTTGCTGTGTCATCGAGAACGAAAAGGCTGGGAAGAAGGCCCTTCACAGAATGGACTGGTATTGCAGGGTGAGAAGCTGCCCCCTGACTTCATGCCAAAGCTGGTCAAGAATCTCCTAGGTGAGATGCCTCTATGGGTCTGCCAGAGTTGTCGAAAGAGCATGGAGGAAGATGAAAGGCAGACTGGTCGAGAACATGCAGTGGCGGTAGGTAACCACTGATGATGGGTCTCTGGATGCAGGACTGCCACCTCCCTAAAGAAGTCAGGCTGGCTGTTCCTTCCCTGTCCTTCCAAGTGGCTGTCCTTGGACTGCCCCCATGCCTAGGCACTGAGAGACTGCTGGGCTGCACTAACACATCCTTTGGAGCTTGGGTTCAGATTTTGGGGAAGAAGAGATAGGTTTCAGCCAGCCCACAAACCCCTTGGCACAAGATGAGGGCCTACTCATGGGTACTGATAGATCAAGATCCTGCCCCCTTGTGTGACCCTGATGCCTTCAGTTCTGTTGCAGTTTGAAAGGCAGCCAGTATCACATGCAGGGCAAAGGTCAGTTTGAGGGTCTGAAATATACCTCAGTCAGAAAGCATCCAAGATAAGTGCCATCCCATGAGTTGTGGTGGCCAGACTTTGCTTGTTTCTCATTCCTCTGCAGACCCTCTCTTTTACCAACATCAGTTCAGCTTCAAGACTCCTGACTTAAAGACCTTTCCTCTTGTTGGCAGCCCTTCCCATTCCTTAAAGGCCCACATTCAGTCAGGCTCTGCCCTGGCAGAGGCTCTTTCCACATGTCCACGTCACTGGGAGCACCTCAGCCCCCTCCCAGCACAGGCCTGGCTTTTGCTGTACTTCGGCTTGAATTGTGCTGATTGTGTTTTGGCCATGGCTGAGGGGCCTGAGGAGAGTGGGCACCTTTGGGATACACTGAGGCAGCAAAGGGTCAGCTCACTGTTTAACCATGAGCCTTTTTCTTCCCCTTTTCCAGATCTCCTTGTCACACACTTCCTGCAAATCACAGTCTTGTGGGGGTGATTCTCACTCCTCCTCGTCGTCCTCTTCATCATCTTCATCTTCATCTTCCTCTTCCTCCTGCCATGGGAACTCAGGGGACTGGGATCCCAGCTCATTCCTGTCGGCACATAAGCTCTCAGGCCTCTGGAACTCCCCACACTCCAGTGGGACCATGCCAGGCAGCTCGCTCGGGAGTCCACCTGCCATCCCTGGTGAGTCTCCAGGCTCAGGAGAGAGACAGGTCCCCTTAATGGCAACTGTACATTTTTTTTTCAAACTAGTGTTTGAACTCAGGGCCTACACCTTGAGCCACTCCACCAGCCCTTTTATATGAAAGGTTTTTTCAAGATAGGGTCTCCCGAACTATTTGTCTATGCTGGCTTCGGACCTCAATCCTCCTGATCTCTGCCTCCTGAGTAGCTAGGATTATAGACATTAGCCACCAGTGCCCAGTTGACAAATGTGTTTTCTTCTCCACTTTTTCCACTTTGATTATTAAAATAAGTAAATGTGGAGCTGTTCTGATAGCTGCAGGGGCAACCTAGACATTGACTATCTCTGGAATGCTTCTGTAGGACTCTGAAGTTAAAAAATAATTACCACTAGAGAAAAGTTGTCTCCAAAGCTGTTGTTGGCTCTGATGGCTATTCACATAGGACCCAGGAAGGGACCTGGTACATACTGTCTTGAGAAGCAAGTAGAGTGGAAGGGCCTTTAGAGAAGTAGGACTTAAGTGGCTAACACCTGCGTTACAGCATCACAGATGACCTGAGTCCCCTCAGCTTCCCTCAGTCCCATTTTCTCCATCTGAAGGACAGATGTAAAGCACTGTACTTAACTTCCACAAGCAATCAGCAGTGCAAGCTGCCATGCTTATTAGCCAATTAGCAGCTATAGAAGCCTTTTTAGACTCTGGACTAATGCTCAGAGACCCAAAGGAAAACCCCTGAGTTACTGATTTATTATATAAATATGATTTACTGTCATACTTCTAAATGTGGGGGCAGAGCTCTTTAAAATAGTGATGTCCCCAGAACTATGTGAGTTGAGCATATAAGTAATTCTGGCTATTGTGATCCATGAACCAGAGAGAGTCATCAGAATTTTGCTACTTCTTCTCTGAAATCTGAGGCCTCCTGAGAGTCAGGCATCCTCTGGCTGCTCAGATCCATGTAGTCTAGAAGCAGAGCCTCAGCCTGCTTTAGCTCCTGTCCCTGGCCTTAGGATGGCCTGTGAACAAGCAGGTCCTAGAGAGACCCAGAAACAGAACATACATCTGCTGTTTGTGCCTTAGCAGAGGCATGTGGCCCTCCATGGGGCCAGAATTCCAATGCCTTCTCTGTTGAACCTGAGCTTCTTGAGCCTGTCCAGTTGAGCTCCTGCCCACACAGAATCCTCTCCAGTTCCAGGATCCCCTGTGCTGTGTCCTCTGGTTACAGTAGGCTAGACACTGTGACAGAGAGCCTGTGGGCTTCCTTTCCAGATCTGACTCCTTTCTTTCCCCTCCACCCACAGGTGAGGCTTTCCCCGTCTCGGAGCACCACCAGCACTCAGACCTCACTGCTCCTCCTAATAGCCCCACTGGCCACCACCCCCAGCCAGCATCTCTGATCCCCTCTCACCCTGGCTCTTTTAGCTCACCACCCCACCCACACCTGCTGCCCACCACCCCAGCAGCACCTTTCCCTGCCCAGGCTTCAGAGTGCCCTATGGCTGTTGCTGCTGCTCCCCACACGCCAGGGCCATGTCAGAGCCCCCACCTGCCCTCCACCAGCATGCCACTCCTGAAGATGCCTCCACCATTCTCGGGATGCAGCCACCCGTGCAGTGGGCACTGCAGTGGGCACTGTAGTGGGCCTCTTCTCCCACCAGCAAGCCCTCAGCCACTCCCTGGCACTCACAGGTAAGTGAGTGAGTGGCATGAAGGCGCTACTCCCTGCTCACTGGAACTTAGGAGTTTTTGGAAAACTCCACCAAGAGTACCTTTGGAATGGAAATTAAAAAGGTAGATTGGGCTGGAGATGTAGCTCAGTGGTAGAGCACAAATTTAGCATGTGCCAGGCACAACAACAAAAATTAATGGTAGGTTAAGTTTTTTCATTGTTTTCCCAATTATAAATCTTTTCTTTTAAAAATTTGGAACAATTCAAAAGTGTATGAAGAAGAAAATAATGTCCTCACAACCTAAAGATAAATGTCTAACTTTGATTGTTTTCTTGAGGATGTTTCTGTGTATAAATAGTTCAATCTATATTTTGATGTATTTTTTGGTGCAATTCTTCCCCCCTCCCGCCCCTGCAAGCACTGGGGTTTGAACTCAGGGCTTCATGCTTGCTAGGCAGGTGCTCTTACCACTTGAGCCACTCCACTAGCTCTTTCTTTATGACGGGTTTTTTTTCGAGATAGGGTCTTGCAAAGATTTGCCCAGGCTGGCTTTGAACCAAGATCCTCCTGATATCTGCCTCCTGAGTAGCTAGGATTACTGTCCTGAGCCACTGACTCCTGGCTCTTCTTTTTTTTAAAAAAAAACAAAAACAAAAACAGGGTCTTCCCATGAAGGCTAAGCTGGCCTTGAACTCATGATCCCCCTACCTCAGTCTCCCAAGTGCTGGGATTATAAGTATTACCTAACATACTTGCCACATGTAGCAATTCTTTTTTAAATACATCATGATTATTTCCCAAGCTAAAAATTTCTCTTAATTTTTTTTTTTTGGGGGGGTTTGAGCTCAGGGCCTCACACTTGCTAGACAGGTGCTCTACAACCTAAGCCATTCACCAGCCCTTTTTTGTGTTGGGTATTTTCAACATAGGGTTTCTCAAACTTTTTCCCTGGGCTGATTTCAAACCTTGATCCTTCTCATCTCTGCCTCCAAGTAGCTAGAATTACAGGCAGTAGCCACCAGCGCCTGGCTCAAAAAATACTTTTAAATGGTCATATAACACCTTATTACATAGCTCTAGCATAATTTATATTATATTCTCCTATTCCTAGACATTTAGGCATTTCCAGATTTTTAGTTAAGAGAAATAACTCTGAAGTAAGCATCCTAAATCCTAAGTTTACATGGGGAGATAGGTCTTTTTAGGACATTCCTAGAAAGTAACTCTGTGTGCTAAGAAGGGTTGTATTAGAATATATTGGAAGCAAATTTTTTAGAGAAGGTAGATTATATTTTTATATTATGAGTTGGATCTGGGTTTATTATGCATCTATATTTTTCCTTTCTGAAGCCCTGTTGCCCTACTTCTACTTCTCTTGGCAGTTTTTTTTCTCTCACATCTTTCACATGGCATTGATGGCATCTGTACAGATTTGCATCTTCCAGTTTTCTCTTAACATTACCTTATCATTTTGCTTCCCATGTGGAGTTCTTAGCCCTCAGCCTTGGAGACTGGAGAATATTAACTGTAGTTCACTTCACTGTTCCAGTTGCTGAACACTTAGGTCATTCCACCATTTTAACCTTATAAATAATGTCTCTAAAAATGTCTTGGCCAAAGCTTTCTCCCTCTTTTGGATTTTTCTTCTTGGAATAGACTCCTCAGAATGAAAGAGGTCTCAAAGAGTACTGGGGTTTTTTATCATTGTTGCTTTGAGGGGTGTTCTTTACACACATTGAAAAGCTGCTTTCTGATGGGCATTGTGGCACATACCTGTAATCCCCGCACTTGGGAGGCAGAGGCAGGAAGATCACAAGTTTGAGGCCAACCTGGGCTACATAGAAAGGCCAAGGCCAGCCTGAGCTACACAGCGAAAAACAAGGGCTAGGGATATAGCTTAGTGATAGACCCTGCCTAGCATATGTCAGGTCTTGGGTTCATTCCCCAACACCACAAAAATGAGTGAATGGATGAATGAATGAAGAGTTACTTTCCAAAGGGCTCTCCAAATTGACATGACTACCAGTGCTCTCAGGAGCATTGGGTATTTTAATTTTCTTAAAAGCAATTTTGCTAATCTAATAGATGAAAAATGGTTGATTTGGAATAAACTTCTGTAAGCACCACTAATAATAATTCTTACTGCCTTCCTTTTTTTTTTTAAATCCTGCCATGTACTTATTGTCCTTTCCAGCAGCAGAGAGGGCTAGGTTGGCCTGCCCTGGAGCTGGGCCTCTACAGAGTTCTGGCCTTACTCTGACCTCCCCTGCCACCTGAGCCTTGGCCGCAGGTCCTGCAGCATTTTAGCTGCTGATGGCATAGCCTAGAGCTCTGGTTCTTCTCAGCTCAGGGACCTTTCACCTATGTCTCATGCTTCTCCTGGACAAATGCTCTATATAATACAAGCTGCTCTGAGTGCTTTCCAGAATCCAGAGGCAGAACAGTACAGTGGAAAGAGCATGAACTCTGCACACTGGGAGACACAGGGACTTGCATCCTGCCACCTGTTGGGCAGAGCAGTCAAGCACTCTGAGCCTTGGTTTCTACCATTGCAAAATGGGGAGAATAACATCTATTTTGCAGGACTTGGGAACGTTGGTAGAAATAACACGCTAGGTACAATGCTGGGCACAAGCTAGCTCTTACAGTGTGTGGCCCATGATATACGTTCCCTTTTTTCTTTTTTTGAGTTTTAAATTTGAATTATTATTTTTATTTTTGAAATGTTTAATTTGTTTGTTTATTTACTTATTTCTTTCGAGACAGGGTTAGTCCAGGCTGATCTTGAACTCTTAATCCTCCTGCCTCAGCTTTTGCATTCTGGGATTACCAGCACTGTGCCTGTGCCTGGCTCACATTTGTTTTTTCTCAGCTTGGTTAAGGAATCTCCACCCACTGGTACGGAGAACAGACTCCTAAGGTTATGAGGACTTTAGAAAGTAGAAGCAAACACTCTCCTCACTATTACCCGACAGTGTACCAGGGGAGCCATCAGCCTGCTGATGGGTTCAGACACCTACTTACTGAGCACTTGCTCTGTGTGTGCAAGATTGTCATGCTATGTACTGGGACCCAAAAATAGAAGTGGCACAGTCCCTACCCTTGGGAAGTGCACCATCTAGCTTAAGAGACAAATGGCAGGCAGGCATTATAGTACAGCATGATAAACAAGTATAGAGAGAAGTATCCACACAATGTCTTGAGAAGAGTGCGTGCGGTAGGTACAGTCAGAGGAGACACAGGGAAACCGTCCATAGGGACAGCCTTGATGGCCTTGGGGGACTGCAGGGGTGTTGGCCCTATTCTTATGAGAGGCATTAATGTGTCAGGTGAAGAACAGTTGAGATTGTGGGTGGGAGTTAGGATGCTTCCAGGATTCTGCTGTGGCCTCACCACCTATCCTTACCTCTGGGGCTCTCTCCCCTGCAGCAGGGACCCCGGGTGCAAAGGGCACAAGTTTGCACACAGCGGCCTGGCCTGCCAGCTGCCCCAGCCCTGCGAGGCAGATGAGGGCCTGGGTGAGGAAGAGGATAGCAGCTCTGAGCGAAGCTCCTGTACCTCGTCCTCCACCCACCAGAGAGATGGGAAGTTCTGTGACTGCTGCTACTGTGAGTTCTTCGGCCACAATGCGGTGAGTGAACCTCCCTGGGCCAGAGTGGGCTGGGGGCCAGCCAAGGCGAGCAAAGGAGCAGCACCTTGCTCTCCCCAGAGGCCTCACACTCACTGTAATAACCACTGCTCTGGGACTGTGAGTCCTCATCTGTGCTCGCTTGCTCAAGCCTCAGGGCGCGTTGTGAGGTTGGGGTTTTTTGACATTTTGCTGTCTTTGCTCTTCTCGTGGTTTCTCTTAAGATTGACTTTTTTTCTTTAGGCAAAAGGAAAGGAAGTGGCAGAGAGAAAGCTATGAGTCTGATGAGTATGTATACGTGTGTAATCCCAGAGAAGTGAACGCTTGTGCGTGATGAAGGCAGAGTGGAAGCAAAAAGGCTCTCAGTTCCCCAAGTGTGGCAGCCAGCCGAGGGACAGGCCGTGAGCACAGATGGCGCCAGGAAGGAGGCTCAGATCAGAGTACATGCTGTCTCTGGACAGGGGCAAAGCAGTTCAGAAGTCTCATAAGGTGAAGAGGAAAGGGCTGCTGGTTAGGGCAGAGCAGTTGAGGATAGGAGAAATAAAAGTAATCCAATGATTAGTCACCTTTGAGTTAGGCATTGTTATCCTCATTTTAGAGATGACAAAAATTGAGGCTCATGAACACTCAGTGACTTGCCCAAGGTCATACAGCTTCCAAGTGACAAAGGCCTGGCTCAAACCTGCTTCCCTGGCTCCCTAGTCCATGTTCTCCCAGCTGTGCCCTCTTCCCCTCCCAATCCCTTCACCTGCCACTGCCTCAGCTCAGAGCCTACTGAGGGTGAGGCCAGCTGGCCTTGGTGGCTGATGGTAGAGAGAACAGCTGTCTGGCTCTTCACCACATACTTGGTGCCAGAGGGTGGGAGTGCTATGGGCCTCCCAGGCCCAGGGTGTAATGTCAGCGCCTCCCCCTCCCCCAGCCACCCGCTGCCCCGACGAGTCGGAATTATACCGAGATCCGGGAGAAGCTCCGCTCGAGACTGACCAGGCGGAAAGAGGAACTGCCCATGAAGGGGGGCGCCCTGGGCGGGATCCCTGGGGAGCCCGCCGTGGACCACCGAGATGTGGATGAGCTGCTGGAATTCATCAACAGCACGGAGCCCAAAGTCCCCAACAGCGCCAGGGCCGCCAAGCGGGCCCGGCACAAGCTGAAAAAGAAGGTGGGTGTGGGGGGGAGCTCAGCTCTACCACCTCTCCTCCCTGAGGAACCCCTCACCCTAAGCCCCAAGATTTCTGGGGCTTGAATGGTGCTGGCTGCCTAAGGCCTTGGCATGGCTCACTGCTGTGGGAAGGTCTGGATGAATTTGGGAGGCATCAGGGTCAGGGAACCTGGGGCAAGCGATTGGAGGAAAAAAAACTTGTCCTGGCCTCAAGCTGCTTGCTGGATTCCTCCAAGCCTAAGACTTGCTTCAGTTGGTCATTTACTCATTCAGCAAATACTTCTACAAATGCTGGGACCCAAAATGAGATGCAGCTAAGTTCTCATCTGGGAGAAGCTCAGTCCAGTGAGGAGACTGACACAAAACTGGACAAGCACATTAGTGTGTAACAAGTACCAGGATGAGGGACGTATCCCCTTCTTGCCAGGAAGTGGCTTTACAAGAAACTGACTTGTGAGCTGAGTCATGGGAAGTGAGGACAAATTCATGAGGGATGCCCTCCTGGCAGCAGGCACAGCACGCCCCACAGCAGCTTGACAAAGCCAAAACCGAAAACATCAGAAAGTTAGGACAGACAGTAGAGGTGAGGGAAGGCCTTAGGCCCTGCTGAAGATCAGCTTTGATGTTAGCCTCCAGGTGAGGGGACATCACTGGAGGGTTGTCATCAAAGAGTGTGCTTAGTCAGATCCGTATTCTGATTATAGTGTTATTTGGAAGGTAGATTGGAGGGTGAGGGCAGGAAAAGATGGGCCAAGGGAGAGATGGTTGAGGGTGGGTCTGCAACAGAAGAGTGATTTGCAGAGGCAGCAGAAGTGACAGGCCTTGGTGATCTGGTGGCAGGACAGAGAGATGGAGTCAGGGATGTCTCCCACATGGTAACCAGCAAGATGGTGGTGCCTTTCACTGAGCCGGCATGGCATTTGCAGAAGACCGGATGCAGTTGGGGCACGTTGACTCGGATGTTCCCATGAGACAACCAAGTGGAGATGGAGGTGCGGGACTAGGAGTTGCCAGTGCAGAGATATAATTGAAGCCATGGGAACGAACCAGTCCTTAGTGCTGAGGACTGAACTCAGGGAGTTATCCCCAGGCAGCTCTGCTGCTAGATGAGCCCCAGGGCTTGATGACTTGTCCCTGCAGCTTCATTACCTCTTCACCTGCTTACCCCCAACTGCGTCTGCACAGTGTCACACTCAGGAGCCCAGCATCTGAAGAGATTTGGGGTTGACAGCCAGCTAGTTCCAGTTTCTGGGTGGTCAAAACAGCGCTAGTGATCTGGAAGGCAGAAGTGATTCTCCATCTCTTTCCAGCCCAAAGGACAACCAGGATCCTTCTGCAGCCTGAAGTTGTGAGCCAAGGGACCCCACCACTGCCTTCAGAAAATGGTCTGCCCTTTCTTGCTCCCATCCAGATTTGCTGTCCACAGGTGTTCAGTGGTCTCTGGCATCTTAGAAGTCACTCTCTGTGATTCCCAGGCCTGGCATACTTTTTATAAACTTGTGCGCCCAGGGAACCCTTTCCCTTTACTGGTAATGCTGTCTGTCTTTTCTCATGAGAAGATGTCACTCTAGGCTCAGTTCAGACATTTCCAGTGAGGCACCCCAAGGAATTCTTTTACTATACTCTACCACACCTCGTATGTCTCTCTAGGCTGCCATTTGTCACACTCCTCTCTCATTCCAGAGTTCACTACACAGCCACTGTCTGCCAGGCCCAGCATAGAAGCCAGGGTACAGGTGAACCTGGCAACCTTCCCCTTCCAGATGTATAGTAAGGGGGCTGCAAGCAAGAACAGACATGCACAGGCAGTTATAGTGTCAGATTAAAGACAGTTGTCATCTGTTTTGATAGCAGTCTCCTCCCTGCAGCCCTTCCACCTGCTGGACTTAACTACAGTCTGGCTGTCTATCAAAACTCAGCTTCTCCAGCAGCCACCTAATGATGGCTGCTCATTCTCTCCCTCCTTAGGAGATGGATAAAGCCATCCCACATCTCACTTCCAGACCATGTACTAACCCCTGATCCATTGAAATTATACCTCTGACTCTGTCATCTACAACTTCCCAGCCACTACTTCATCTACTGAATACTGTCACTTGCCCTTTTGTCTTCTTCCTAGGCCAATCTAGCATTCACTTCAATTGAGTAAGTATTGGTAAAAGAGCAAGCAAATTGATTCATAATTCAATCACAGTCTTATCAACACACTCCTTGTCCCATTGCCCTTTTGTCACACCTGCTTGAAAAAAATGCAGCCCTGGTAGCACATGACCAGGTCTATCTGTGGCACCCTGCTGGGTGATCTCCTACTTGCCTGAGCCCCAATGTTGCATAGCCAGCCTCCTGTAGCTCCCTAATCTTCCTGCTCCTTGTCACACCCATTCACTTGGCCCCTTTTTCAGACTCCCATTCTCCAACCTTGAGGCCCTTCCCAGTTCCCCTCCCTTGTTTTTTTTTCCTGTTTTAGTGAGGAAAAAGCCAGTGGACAGATATTCTACTGTAACCACCCCACCTATAAACTCACTTTCTTCCTTGTTATGAGAGAAGTTGCCACTTCCCTACTTCAGTCCACATAGCCCTTTCTTGCCTCCTCCACTTGCTCTGGAATTGCATTCTCTCCTCTGGTCCAGTTCCCATTGCATGTTCCTGTGCCTGCTTCTCTTTTCAAGAGCAGACAGCTTCTCTAGCCTGTAGCTTCTGCCCCCAGTCCCTTTTTTTTTGGTGGTAGTGGGATTTGAACTCAGGTGCTCTACCACTTGAGTCACTCTACCAGCCCACAGCCACAGTTCTTGAAAAAATGATCTCCACATTCACTATCTTCACTTCCTCCCTTGTCACCGGTCACTTGTTATAAAATCCAAATTATACTCCTGTTCCCATTGTATATGTCCACCAAGCAACCTTTGACATTATTTGTGTATGCATCTTTTGCTCCTCCATCCTCAACCAAACCAGGTCAGGGAAGGGGCAGTGGAAATGTCATCTATAGATTTCTCATCTGCCTCTCTGACCTCTTTCTGTCTCCTTTGTGAGCTCCTGTCCTCTATGTGGGCCTCCTTCTTGAGCATGTTTCCCTGGGAAAGAGAAGCCATCTAAAAACTATTTCCTCCCCGAACCTCATAGTATCCCACACTGTTTCTGGGCTCCTCTTCAGGAACATCCCTCAGCTACCTCAAACTCATCACATTCACAACTGAGCTTGATATCTTTCTCCAAAGAGACCTGCCTTTTCTTCTCTGTTGCCTGTCTGATCAGTGGCACCACCGTCTACCCTATTGCCTGACCAGAGCCCTGAGCACTATCCTTGGGGAGCATAACACAGTGACTAAGAGCAGCAAGCCTTGGAATTGGACGTCAGTTGGAAGCTCAGCTCTGCTCCACTTGCTGTATGACCTTGGGCAAATCACTTAACCTATAAGCCTCAGTTTCTTCATCCATAATATGAGAATAACAGGAACCTAAGTCATAGATTGTTGTGAGGATGTAATGGAGTGGCTCATGGAAAGGTTGAGCAGAGTGCCTGGCACATGGGAACGCTTGGTCCATGGGGGATACTCTAGGAAGCCATAGTGGTTGACAATGTTTCCTGAACATACTTCATTCTCTCTTCCTACCTAACTTAAAGTCCTGTCCAAGGTACTTCCCCAACAGCTTCAAACCAGTCCACTTCTCTCTACCTGCTGCCTCTACTTTCAAAGCCTTCAGTGGCTGAACATTGCCTCAGGCTCAAACCCAGACTCTAGCATGGTCTACAGTGCTCTTCAGAGTCCAGGCTCTGCTTAGCTGCCAGCTTCATCTTTTAGCTGGTCCTTTATAACCTGCCTTCCCATCCCCAGCCTCCCCCCGCAAAAAAAAAAAAAAAAAAGTCTAGGCTCCAGTTTTACTTTTGAATGACTTTTGTTCCCTAATGATGTGCTTTCCATTTCTCAGCCTTTGCACTCACTGTTCTTTCCATCTAGAAAGTGTGTGTCTCACTTTGTCCATGACAGGTCTACTCACCTTCCTCTGGGAAGCAACTCTCTGATACCCAGTCTGTGTTAGAAGCACCCTGTGCTTTTTTCCTATAACACTTGCACTGTCATTCTGAATTAAACAGTCCATTTGCATGTCTGTCTCCCCCAGCAGACTAAAGTCAATGAGACAGACATCATGTCACATGCCCTGCTGCACTCCCAGAGCCTAGCCTAGTGCCTCACATTCAATGGTCAATAAATGGTTGGCAAACAGAATTAAAAACCATGGGAACTTTTGAAGTGCATCCCTGGTATAAGTTACTAGTTGCATATTCTTCCCAGTTGAGCAAGATTCTTCATCTGTAAATTGAGGATCATGACACAGCAAGGACAGTAATAAGGATTAAATGAGACAGCTTATAGAAGGAAACAGGCTCATGGTATGTAGCAGATATGTGTTTCTGTGCTTTCTCCTTTACACACCAGTACTTTTTAGACTTTTTGGTTTAGCAGCTAAACCTTTTTCTGTGAATGATATCTTCTGTAGAACCTCAGTCTAAAACAACTAGAAGCAAAGCTGTATTGGTGCAGGGGAGGCCTCCCTGTGACCTTCATATCCCACACACAGCTGGAAACACTGCTGTAGGCCATCCTGCTACTCACCTGAGGTGCTACTTGGCACAGCCCCTCCTAGCCATCCTCAGAGCAATCAAGTGAGATAGAGGTGCTTTTTTCCCCTAAGTTACAAACTGAAAAATCAAAGTTCAAAGAGGATAAGTGATTTCTCCAAGGTCCCCAGGGGCAGCTGACCTTAGTCAGTCATGGAGCCATGGTTCAAAAGAGATGAGAGAATAAATGCCTGTCTGCTGCAGGGTCACCTCTAAGTTGACTCTGTGATAGTGGCAAGCCCTCTTTTCCTGTTTCTCCCTCCATTTCCAAGTAGACTGGAAATATGTGAGGTGATGGTACTCTACCACCATGAGCTTCCCAAGGGTTCTATTACCTGTCACCTCCTTCCAAAGGCCTTGTTGCCTGTTGGTGCCTTAGGGTTGGTCAGAGAGATGAGATGACTCACCCATAGGCTAAATTCCCATTCCCCTGATCTAGGTCTGTCAAAGTTGATTGGCCTCTCAGAACCTCCCAGTTCTCACCTGCATTCAGGGGCTGCTTTACTGTGAGGGTCAAGTGTGGTCATCAGTGGTATGTCATAGGGCACACTTTAGGTGTGAGCGCAGTCATGTTGAGTGAGAGCCTTTCTAAGGCAGGTGGTCCTCCTCAGTAGTACAGCATCAGGAGAGTACATGCCTTTGTAGTCTAATCTAGAGTGTATCATCTACCATGGCAGTCTCAGCCCCCACATCTTTCTTCCCAGAAGACTACATAGTCTGACTTTTCCTCTGCCATCTGCAGAATTGGAGAAACTGCCTCTCCAATAGCCAGGTTTCTGTCATGCATTCTCACTTTGGTCTTCACTCCAGAATTATTGTCCCCATTTTGCAGATAACTCCACTGGCACCCAACTGGGAGTAAATTGCTCAAGCACACACCAACTCAGGCCCAAGAGGCAGATTCTATCCCTTTGAGCTATAGCCTCCTTAGGCCCTAGAACTGATACAGGATCTGGATGAACAAGCTCTGAAAACCCCACCCTCTGGGGGCATGCCCATACCTCTACCCCCAGGATTGGTTATCTGTCTGCGTTTTACCTTCACTCTTGCTGGTTGGGGAGCAGGCCAATATCATATTAGTGGCAAAGCTAGGCCCTAGGCTGATGTGTCAGGTGTCGAGTTGTGCCTGGCAGTGACAGGTCCCTGCTGAAACTGCCTCTTGTATTGGCAGGAAAAAGAGAAGGCCCGGTTGGCAGCAGAAGCCCTGAAGCAGGCGAATCGTGTTTCTGTAAGCCAGGAGCCAAGGCCTGCCAGGGAGAGGCTCTTAGAGTGGCCTGACCGAGAGCTGGACCGGGTCAACAGCTTCCTGAGTAGCCGCCTCCAGGAGATCAAGAGCACTGTCAAGGACTCCCTTCGTGCCAGCTTCAGCGTGTGTGAGCTCAGCATGGACAGCAGTGGCTTCACTAAGGAGGGGACTGCAGAGCCCCAGGCCCAGACTCTAGCCCCTTCAGAGTTCAACAGCTCCTCGGAGCAACGGTCTGACATCAACCTTGATCTGTCCCCCTTGACTTTGGGCTCCCCACAGAACCACATGTTACAAGCTCCAGGTGAGCCAGCTCTACCGTGGGCAGAAATGAGAGGCCCCCACCCACCATGGACAGAGCTGAGGGCCCCCCCTCCTGGTATCATCCCTGAGAATGGCCTAGTGAGGAGACTCAACACCGTACCCAACCTGTCCCGAGTGATCTGGGTCAAGACACCCAAGCCAGGCAACTCTAACTCTGAGGAACCAAGTTCAAAGGATGTCCCCAGTTGCAAACAGGAACTATCTGAGCCTGTGGCCACAGGTGGGAAGCCAAGAAAGGGCAAGAGACAGGGCATTCAGGCCAAGAAGAATGAAGCAAGCCCAGCTTCCCGGCCCCCAGCCAGCCTAGAGGCTCCCAGTGCCAAGAGCCAGATGCCAGGTCCCAAGCAACCAGGCAAGGCCCCAGAACCTCCCAAAGTGGGCAGTGGTGCTGAGGCTGGAGATAGCAGCCGGGGGAGCCAACCAGGACCAGGATGGGCTGAGAAGGAGAAGGGCAACTCCTGGCGGAACTGGCCAGGGGAGGCCAAGGCACGACCTCTGGAGCAGGAGTCTGTACAACCTCCAGGCCCAGCAAGGCCACAGAGCTTGCCCCAGGGCAAGGGCAGGAGCCGCAGGAGCCGCAACAAGCAGGAGAAGTCAGCCTCCTCGTTGGGTGAGTGCACCAGGTGCCGAGTGGCTGACCCACCCCCACCCCAACCAGGCCATGGGGTGGAGGGTAGTCCTCGTGTGTGGGCAGTGCTGCCCCCAGAGCATGACCCCAGAGGCCTGACTGTGGTTACTGAGCCCTCCTGGCTGTGTCTTCCTAGACGATGTGTTCCTGCCCAAGGATATGGATGGGGTGGAGATGGATGAGACTGACCGTGAGGTGGAGTACTTCAAGAGGTAGGTGTGAGGCTGCCTGCTCTCCCACTCTGCCAAGGGAGCCCCGCTCCATGCTATGCCTCAGGTCTCAGAAAGGCCTGCTCCTTCAGCTCTGGCTCCTTGCCTGTCTGCTAGGACCCAGGAAGCCACTTTGCAGGATGAAGCTTGTGGGGAGGTGCAAGGCATGGGGAGAACAAGGCTGTCAGGACCCAAGAACCAGGGCTTTTTCCAGCTTTGTTTTATTTATCCACACACACTTTCCGTGCTCTGCATGGGCCAGGCTCTCAGTACAGTCTAGTCACTGTGTAGTAGAAATACACAGCCTAATGACTAATGCTATTACAGGTGTAAGGACATGATGAGGTTATAGGGTAGGAAGCTGGAAAGCAGGCTCCAACCCAAGCAGGGGCAGTTCAGGAGGTCTTCCTGGGAGTGGTGACACAGATAAAACCTGAAGAGTAAGACTGAGCTAGTCAGGTAAAGTGAGAAGGTATATGTGACAGTGGGGCAGTGTGTAAGGGTCTGAGGGTGTATGACACACAGCATAGTTAGGGGAGTAGAAGTCAGTCCGGAACAGCTAGAGTGAGATAGCGGAGAGGGAGGAGCTTATTTCTCAGAGTAGTCTTGCTGTCTTCGTGGGTCCCCTGACCTCATAGACGGTGGTTCCTGAGCCAGCAAAGCTCCCATGCCTGCTAGATTCCTCACTTCGGAGTCACTGAAGCTGTGTAAAGCCACCTAACTTCTTAGCCTGGAGCATGGGGTGGGGGGGGTCCAGTGAGGACAAGAGGGAAGCTCTAACTGTGCTGCTCCCATGTCTTCCAAACCCAACAGGTTCTGTTTGGATTCTGCAAAGCAAACTCGTCAGAAAGTTGCTGTGAACTGGACCAACTTCAGCCTCAAGAAAACCACTCCCAGCACAGCTCAATGAGGTAGAAACCCTACGTATTAACCTACACCCCTTCTTTCCATGCCCCGTTACTTCCTGTGCCCCACCAGACTATTCTCTGTTCTGGGGCCAGGAAGTTGGACTTTGGACTTGGCAGCCCTTCTGCCTGCACTTCTACAGCAACTATACAGCCAACTACAGTTTCTGAAGGTCTAGGCCCTATGTGTTCTTGCAGCCACTCACTCCAGGCTTCTGTTCTTCCATCACTCCTCCCTGTCTAGGCCATCCCTGAGCCCTGCTGCCCATTCTCCCAAAGGGCCCCTTTCTGAACTGCCATCGCTGGGCTGTCACAATCAGGGTTCCACTTCTCTATTAGCTGCCTCCCAAAGTGCCTAGGCTCCATGGGTTGCCCCTACCCCTACCATTCAGCATGGTCAGGCTTCAGGCTTAGCCTGGTTCCCCAAGAAAGACTACCAGAGTGCCTTCCAGCTGAAGCAGTGTGGGAAGCTGACCCCAAAAAGTCAATGAGAGGGGGCAGATGCTAGAGCAAGAAGGCCTTGAAGGTCATTTAAACATGGACAAGTTGATGGAGGTTCTATCCCAATAGGACAAGTTCCCTGAAGGAGTTGGTAGCCAGGCTGCCTTCAGGAAGAAGAGGCCTGGTCCCCAGACATCTGTGATCTCCCCTCCAGTCACCAGCTGGAGCTTTTGTGCATACTGGCATATTGGGATGATGTTCTTTGGCCATGTACGTGAGACTGGAAAAAGCATTAGACTGGGAACCTCAGTGCAAAAGCAAAGGGCAGATAGCAGCAGGCAGATCTTGGTACTGGGCTTGGAGCCTTGTGGCTGTTCAGTTCCGTGTCTCAACCCTAATCTATGCCCTTGAAGTCCCGCCTTTTCTGGCTGGCAGCTACACAGCTGCCCTTCATACAGTTGGAGGCTGAGACAGGTGGCCTGGGCTCTGGGACACACCCCTGAGATGCCCAATTTTTGTCATTCTCCTTTTTAGAGAACTCCTCTCTGGGCTAAAGCAGTGGGCATCCTAGCCCCTCAGCACCCCAGGGAAAGCCCAGAAAACCTAAAGCCAGGGCAGCCTTCAAAGTCAGGGCTTCCTGTAGCACCCATGTGCTGTCCCTGAGTTTGGACTGTCTTCTTCAGACTCCCTTAGACTTTCTATGCTCTGAAGAGCTGGGCTTTCAAATCCTGTGCCAGACCAAGATGTCCACACCCAGGAGCATCTTCAGGGCCAAGTTGCTCTACTGCCTCTTTTGTTCATCTCCATAGGAACCGGAAGTAGCAGAGCCCCCAGGCACCTCATCTGTTGCCCTGAGAGAATCACATCTCCTTCCACAAACCCAATTTTATTTGGGAAACCAGCCATCTTCTCCCACCTTGGCTGATCTCTTTTCCAAGACAGACGCCCTCCTCCTCACCCCATAAATGCTCTCCTCTGACCCTCTTTCCCAGCCTCCAGGCAGGATTTCTAGTCCTAATGCACAAGAAAGCAGTGCTGGCATGGACTGAGGACCCAGTCCCAGCTATGTCCCTGGAGCCTGAGTCAGAAATCTGAATGCTGACCTTCTCCGGTAGCTGCCAGTGGGAGAGCAAATGCCAGTCAGTGACTGGGCTCTCACTCAGCCCTGGTCTGGAGAATGTGCTAGGTAGGACTCCTCAAGGATTTGCTCCACATACTGCCAGAGCCCTAAGACTGAGGCTCTTCTTCCCCGGCCCCCCAGTCCCCCCCCAAAAAAAAAAACAGGATCTTAACCTTCATCTTCTGCTGAAGGTGATCCAGGGAATCTGTTCAGCACTTTTCAGCCCAGGGAATAAATACAGGAGCTTTACAGTCCCACCTCCATGTGGACCCATAGGGATCAGAATCAGCTTGGGGGGCTGGAACACAGGCCATTGCTTACTGTGATCCTGCTCTTTTGTTCTTTCTCAGCCCTGCCCAGGTCAAGCTTCTTCAGGGCATCCTGAGGCCCCAACTGCAAGCTGAAGGTCTACAGTTTCTCCCTCCACGTGCCCTGTACACTTGCCCTGACCCTCCCTGCTCCCATTGTCCCGGACCAACCAAAAGCTGAATGGATGCCGCACTATGCTGGGGCCCTTCAGGACCTCAGCAGAGCTGCTTCCTGGTGCTACGCAGCCTCCATACTCAGAGCCCGGGGACTGGGCTGGCCTGTGGGCCAGGGACTGATGGTACTGCTGGGCCCAACACTGCTCTCTTTTTGTGTTCAGTTTTTTGTTTCTGTTTTTTTTTTTTCAATTCTTTACTTTTGATACTGTGAAGATCTTTCATGCTGAAAGATAAAGCAACATTTGGACACAGAATTGACTTGGTGGTGATTTACTGGTTTAGGTGGGGCGTGGGAGGGATGCCTTTAAGCTTAGGATCTGCCTTAGTCACTAACCTTATGGAACAGGTACCATGTGTCAGTAGTTTGGCATAGTTTCCACCTAATCCTTAGGATTCCTCAAAGCAACCTTAAGTGTGATTCCAATCCCATTTTACAGACGAGGAAACTAAGGTTAAAACAGTAAAGTGACTGCTGAAATTAAGTCGGGTCAGTTAGGGCTGAGCACAGGCCTGCATGACCCCATTGTCTGCATCCTTCCTCCTGTTGGGAGAATTCTGGTATGGGAGCCTTGAGCAGCCTGTTCCCAGCTTTGTGTCTCAGTTTTCCCCTTTGCAAGATGGGCAAGGTAGTAGATATGAGGTGGTCTAGGAAAGGCCCTACGGCCATATGGACTGTGCACTTACTGCATGTAGCCTGACCAGTTGAAGCTCCTCACATTAACTTAATGTAGTCAGGCAATCAGGGGCAATCTTAAATTAGATCTGATTTCTCACTGAGAATGGAGCATGTATGTGTAGAGCTGAGAGTAAAAAAGGACGGTGCACACATCCATAAAGTCAAGTAAACTATTTCATCCTCCCGTATGGAGCTGGCTTATAAATTCCAATTTTAATATGGAGGGTTTGCTAAAAATGCCCCACATTCACTTTTAGGTCCAAACTTCCTTCCCCCAAAGTGGTTTTCTGTACCAAAAGCAATTCTTGATTTGAGCTTATGTGGGGAGCACAGTGTCTAGAAGTGCATTCGGCAATCACTAAGAGCCCTATACAGAGTTAAAAGCAAGACTAGAAACTGCACTCCTACTGCCCCACAATGGAACTGGATGAGGATGAGTGACAGCTCCCTCTTTTTTTTTTTTTTTTTTCCTTTTTGCGGTGCTGGGATTTAAACTCAGGGCCTACACCTTGAGCCACTCCACCAGCCCTTTTGTGTGATGGGTTTTTTCAATAATAGGGTCTTTTAAACTGTTCTCCCTGGCTGGCTTTGACCGGCTATCTTCCTGATCTCTGCCTCCTGAGTAGCTAGGATTACAAGCGTGAGCACCGGCACCCTGTAGCAGCTTCCTCTTATAAAGAAGGGAAACAGGCTAGAGGTGGGACTCCATGGGTAGAGCACCTGTCTTTCAAACATGAAGCCCTGAGTTCTAACCCCAGTACTACAAAAAAAAGAAAAGAGTGAGAGGGGATACAGAGGCTCACAATTTTTGTCTTGTGGATTTGTGGCCTGTCTCAATCCTCAAGGAAGTGTGAATACTCCTTTGTGAAACTTTTCTGTGTACTTACCAGCTATGTTTCTCCCTGCAACTCTTGCACCAGGCTCCTGCCTTGCAATTGAATTAGCATAGCTAGCTGAAATTCTGCATCATGGCAAAAGTGCAGGGCTGATCAACCAGCCCATTGACGTACAGAGAAGGTCTTCTGTGTCTAGCTAGCATTGAAGATCTTCCTGCCTGAAGCAGTCACTCCCACTCATGCTCCAGTTAGGCCTGGTACCCTTGGGTCTCCTGACTTGTGCTCATGTTTCCCTCTTCCCAGATTAGCCTTCCTTCACAAATTCCTGCTTATCCTTCACGTCCCACAATAAAGGCCATTTTGCTACGAAAACCATGAGAATCAATTTGTCTTGCCTTTGATATTCCAAAAGTGATACTTGGTCTTTCTAACAATATTTCTCCTTAACCTTAAGATCAGTTATCTATATGTCTGTCTTCCCAGCTAACCCATAAGTTTCTCCCAAGCTAAGTGTGTGTCTTGTTCATCCTTTACGTGCTTTGGCACTGCCCAGTGACCAACACGTACTCCTCTTAAACACACAAATGAAGGGAGGAACAGCTCCAGCCATGTCATTCCTCTTTACAAGTCTCCAATGTAGTTGGATTTACTTACCCAGCATGCTCTAGGCCAATCTAATTTTCTGGCCTTGCCTCACACCAGCTGTGCATCTCCTTGTTCCCTGAGGAACTTGTGCACGTGCATATCTACAGGAAGCCTGTCTCCTCCAGTCCCTGTGCTGAGCAATATTATAGTATTTACAATTTACATATGTACAGGCCCTCAGTTAAAGAACAACGCCACCGTGGCTCCACCACTGAACGTATTGTCACACTGTCGAGGACACCAGCCAGAGCGGTAGTGGTATTGAGTCATTTATTCTGCAAGCCCCACCCTGCTCGGTTGGCCCACTGCCAGGGTGGAGACGGCGCGGATCCCAGCGTGCCAGCCCACTAGAGGGCGCAGTACCCACCGGCGGGGACGTGCCATAACGTCAGGCCCTGGGCGTGACTCGGTTCCTGGCAAGCAGCCCTTTCCCTCCCCACGGGATCACAGGTCTCCACTCCAGGAATCTTCCTCTGACTGGGCCAGGTTGCGCATGCTTCAAGTCCTCCAGCGTCTCACAAAGACATGCTTAAAGTTTTGCGTCCTCATCCTTGGTAAACACACATTTCCGCCCACAGACAGCGCAGAAGGAAGTTTGTCCCCTTGCGCGACCCGGCATACCTAGGGTTGTTGCTAGGCGCCAACGTCCATTTCCTGACATCTGATTGGATCTCCTCGAAGACGAGGCGGGACTTTGCCGTGGGGCGCGTGCGTGCCGCAAAGGATGGAGGAGTCGGAACCCGAGCGGAAGGTGGGAGCGAGGCTGGAGCTCGCGCGGTGGGGAGCGGGAGTGGGGCGGGGATGCGGGGAGAGTCGCAGGCCTGACTCGTGGGTGTCTGCAGCGGGTTCGCACTGACGAGGCGACTGCCGGAGGAAACCGCTCCGAGGCCGAGGATGAGGACGACGAGGACTACGTGCCCTATGTGCCGCTGCGACAGCGCCGGCAGCTACTGGTGAGGGCCCGGGATCGGAGGAGGAATGGGGGCGTGGCGACCCGGTCTCAGAGCGATGGGAGGTACCCCTGCCTTGCAACGGCTTTTCGTGGTGGTGGCGGGGGGGGGGGATTATCTGAAGAGGCAGTGTTAGCACATGGGAGAATGACCCCGAGACAAACGAGGATTTGGGCAGCTGTGGGCCTTCGGGGCATGCGACCCCCCGCACAAAAACCAGGATCCGGATGCAAACCTCCTGGGACCTGATGCCTCCCTGTCTTGGGTTTGACTCTTGGGCACTGGTGGAACTTCAGCTCCAGAAGCTGCTGCAGCGAAGGCGCAAGGGAGCTGCGGAGGAGGAGCAGCAGGACAGTGGCAGTGAGCCGCGGGGAGATGAGGACGACATCCCTCTGGGCCCTCAGTCCAACGTCAGCCTTCTGGATCAGCACCAGCACCTCAAAGAGAAGGCTGAAGGTGGGCTGGCAGCACTGCCTGGGCGGGAGGGGAGAAGCCAAGCCTGGGTCACCGTATGGGTGTCTGACAACTTTGGTTTCTTTTCTCAGCCCGCAAGGAGTCTGCCAAGGAGAAACAGCTGAAGGAAGAAGAGAAGATTTTGGAGAGTGTGGCTGAAGGACGAGGTATGGTTGTAGTGAGGACAAAGAGGAGATGGACTGAGCAACCTCCCCCCAACCTCAGGGGGTCTGGCTGCAGGGAGGAGGAGCCATGTCTGATGAATGTTTGTCTCCCCAGCCTTGATGTCAGTGAAGGAGATGGCCAAGGGCATCACATATGATGATCCAATCAAAACCAGGTACATCTTTCCAGTCTGTACAGTTGCCCTTACTCAGGATGGTGTGTGGCTGAGACTGGCAGTGTCATTGTGAAGCCAGCTATGACCACTACTGCCCACTCACAGTTGGACACCACCCCGTTACGTCTTGAGCATGTCTGAGGAGCGACATGAGCGCGTACGGAAGAAGTATCACATCCTGGTAGAGGGAGATGGTATCCCACCACCCATCAAGAGCTTTAAGGAAATGAAGTTTCCTGCAGGTACCTGAGAACAGGGAGAGGTACTGTGCTTTTACAGTCAAGCTCTCTGTGAGGCTGTATCTCAGCCTCCACCGAACGCAGCAGTGGGATGGAGGGATTTATTTCTCAGATGCCCCAGCCATACGTATTTTCAATCCTCTGCTGTTACAGAGCTTCTATAGGGAAGTGACATTGGGCTTAGACCTAGGTATGAATTCTGGCTCCAGTAAACCAGTGGGCATTGGAAAAGTCTCTCTTCCTCTCTCTTTCTCCCTGAGCCTGTTTCATGACTTGCATCTTGTAGGGAAATGCCAGATTTATAGGTTCTGGGACCCTGATAAAGCACCTGTTGTATTCCACAGCCATTCTGCGAGGCCTGAAGAAGAAAGGCATCCTCCATCCAACACCCATTCAGATTCAGGGCATTCCCACCATGTGAGTGTGCGCTGTGAACCTGGGGTCCCTGAATAGCGCACGGTGGGGAGAGGCAATGGCCAGTGTTGGACTGGGGAAGGAGCCACTTTCTTCTGCTGGACCTGGCCCTCTTGCTGTCCTCGCCCAACAGTCTGTCTGGCCGGGACATGATTGGTATTGCCTTCACTGGGTCGGGCAAGACACTGGTGTTTACGCTGCCTGTCATCATGTTTTGCCTGGAACAAGAGAAGCGGCTGCCTTTCTCCAAGCGCGAGGGGCCCTACGGACTCATCATCTGCCCCTCGGTAAGACAGGCCAGCTGGGGGGCCGGCTGGAGACTGGGGCCGTCTCTGGTGCCAGCCCCCCGCCATCTCTGTATCTGCAGCGAGAACTGGCCCGGCAGACCCACGGCATACTGGAGTACTACTGCCGCCTGCTGCAGGAGGACAGCTCACCTCTCCTGCGCTGTGCACTCTGCATCGGAGGCATGTCCGTGAAAGAGCAGATGGAGACCATCCGACAGTGCGTACAGGCAACCCCTGTCCCTTGGGCTTCCCTCAAAGGCCTCCAAAGAAGCAAAAGACCCTTTAGTTTAGCTACTCCACAGAGTCCTCCTGTGGGCCCAATCTTAAGTTTAATGCAGCACATGGAATGTCCCACCCCTGAGGGCATCTGAGAGAAGCCAGAGAAGACTTTCAGGAAGGTGCCATTTGAATTTTGAAGAGGGGCAATTCCAGCAGAAAGCACAGAGGTGAGGGCTTGGGTGTCCACAAAAGCCAAAGTTGGACAGTGTGGTTAACCAAGAAGGCTGAGACACTGGGACAGGGCCAGATCCCAGCAGTACCCATGTCCTTCCCACATAGTGCAGTTCCCAACAGACATGGCCAGATGCCCTGGACCAGGCCCTGGGCTCACAGACAGGCCAGACGCCATTCCTATTTCTGAGGCATTCCCAGGCTCAGCGAAGAGGCAGAGACAGAAAAGATGAAGTCAGTCTACCAGGAAAATGAGCTCAGCCATGGCCTAAGAAGGGGCTGCAGGAGCTTGGGGCAAAGCCTCTGCAGAGGCTTGGGACAGCAAACCTCTCCTGAGGCAAACGGTGTGTCGGGCCAAGTGCTGGCTGGAAGGCTGCAGCCTCTTCTTCCAAGAGATGGATGTGTGCTGAACACAGGGCAGGAAGAGGAGGGGAGTGATGAGGAGACTGAAAGAGGTCTTAGGACTGAGCCTATTGGTGGGTTATAGGCAAGTGGACCCAACCTCAGGGTCTCTCTTCGGTCCTCAGCGGTGTGCACATGATGGTGGCCACACCGGGGAGGCTCATGGATTTGCTGCAGAAGAAAATGGTCAGCCTAGACATCTGTCGCTACCTGGCCCTGGATGAGGCTGACCGCATGATTGACATGGGCTTCGAGGGCGACATCCGCACAATCTTCTCCTACTTCAAGGTGTCTATTCCTAGTCAGTCCAGGCACTCCTGCACCCCTCCTCTCAGCCAGTATGTACCACATTCAACTGGGGAGGGCCCTGAGCAGTACTCCTGCACTGCCTCACCCTCCACTCCTGCTTGAGGCTCTGCACCTCAGCTGCTCAGCATCCTCAGACTCCATCCCCCCATGCCCTCCACCCAGCCCTGCCCAGCCCTTCACACCCTCAGCCCTAGCCCACACCCTTCCTCAGGGCCAGCGGCAGACTCTGCTCTTCAGTGCCACCATGCCGAAGAAGATTCAGAACTTTGCCAAGAGTGCCCTGGTAAAGCCTGTCACCATCAATGTGGGGCGTGCTGGAGCCGCCAGCCTGGATGTCATCCAGGTAGGCAACCACTCCTGATGAACAGAATCTCACTTGTGAGGGCTGGACCTGGCTAGGCTCCCTTTGAAGCTGATTGGATGGGGGCTTTACCTTGTAGGGCCACAAGGTTTCATTGAAACCCTCCTGCTTTTAGCCAGGGCCATTCTTATGGATGGTTTTTTTTGTTTGTTTGTTTTTTGGTGGCACTGGGGTTTGAACTCAGGGATTCACACTTGCTAGGCAGGTGCTCTACCACTTGAGCCACTCCACCAGGCAGCCAGGGCCATTCTTAAAGTACTCAGGTCTTGGTGGCAAGAGGCTCCTGGGCTCTGATTTGGGGCCCAGCTCCTATAACAGGGCCATGGCTGGTGAGCCTAATGGTGGTATCACTTGACCTGGCTCCTGTGATGGCAGGAGGTGGAGTACGTGAAGGAGGAGGCCAAGATGGTGTACCTGCTCGAGTGCCTGCAGAAGACACCTCCACCTGTGAGTACAGTGGGTCAGGCTGGTGCTGGGGGAGTCAGCGGGATGCCCTCCCACTGAAGTCGGCTTTCCTGAATAGGTCCTCATCTTTGCGGAGAAGAAGGCAGATGTGGATGCCATCCATGAGTACCTGCTGCTCAAGGGGGTTGAGGCTGTGGCCATTCATGGGGGCAAAGGTCAGAGTGGTTCCTGCGTTGGCATGGACCTGCTACCACGGCAGCCCCTTGCCTTTCTCTTCCCATTCCCTTACCCCTGCCTGGCTAGCCTGCCAGTACTCTCAAAATTCCTACCATGGCTCTGAAAGTTTTTGCCTAACTTTCCCTAGACCAGGAGGAACGGACCAAGGCCATAGAGGCATTCCGGGAGGGCAAGAAGGATGTCCTAGTAGCCACAGATGTGGCTTCTAAGGGCCTGGACTTCCCTGCCATCCAGCACGTCATTAATTACGACATGCCTGAGGAGATCGAGAATTACGGTGGGGAGCTTGGAGGGCTGGAGGTGTGGGCTAGATGGGGAGAAAGACTAGGCCAGACCTCCAGTGCCTGTGCAGCGGGCCAGAGGTTCTGTTTCTCTCTTTGCAGTGCACCGGATTGGCCGCACTGGACGCTCAGGAAACACAGGCATTGCCACCACCTTCATCAATAAGGCCTGTGGTGAGTGTCACCAGAACCACTCAGTTCTCTGCTGGGTCCTCCATATGTGGCCATCCAGGTTCTGGCTATGGGACCCAGGTGAGGCCTAATGGTTCCCACTACCCCTCTTCCACAGATGAGTCAGTGCTCATGGATCTCAAGGCTCTGCTACTAGAGGCCAAGCAGAAGGTGCCACCTGTGCTGCAGGTGCTGCACTGTGGAGACGAGTCCATGCTGGACATTGGAGGTGAATGCTAATAAGGGGGCACAAGTCCCCAGTGGTGGGGTCAGGGGAGGGAGGTGACCAGGAAGGCAGGTAGCCTGAACACCATGAAACAAGTCCATGCTGGACATTGATGGACTGGCAGGACCTAATGGGAGGCCAAGGTACAGGGCCTGAGTCCTGGTTCTGTCACTTTGCTGACACTGATCCTATCTTCCCAGGAGAGCGTGGCTGTGCCTTCTGCGGGGGCCTGGGTCATCGGATCACTGACTGCCCCAAACTCGAGGCTATGCAGACCAAGCAGGTCAGCAACATCGGCCGCAAAGACTACCTGGCCCACAGCTCCATGGACTTCTGAGCCATCTGTCTTCCCTCCTCCTCTCTCCAAGAGGCCTAAGTTCCAGGACTCCAGACACACACACACACACACCCGCTGGACAAGAAGCCAGCATCCCTGGCCCAGCTGGCCTGGGTGCTTTCCTGTGCCCTTAGAATTACTATTTTTGCTCCCCTCTCCCCCAGCTGCCATTAAAGCACAAGTCCCTCTATCTCATCCACAGCCCTGCCTCTGTGTCTTGCCTGTCTGTCCTCTGCTTCCTGGGCAGGCCTCACCCTCTGGCTTCTGGCACCCAGAGGAGGCAGTGGGTCATATCCCACTGTTGCTGCCAGTGTGCTTTCTTGACTGTGGAAGGAGGTGCGTAGCAAACACACCCCCCCAGGGGGCTCTGGGCATCTCCTCAGGATGCTGGGGTTTGACTCAAGGAAGGATGACAATAGGGAGCCAGAGGGAAATGGTTGGGTCTCTGGCCTCCCTGGCTGGCCATCATAATACCCAGCCTTTCCTGTGATGCTTTGGGGACTTCTGGAGACCCTTGGGAGAGTCCTTCCTGCTTCAGGCTCTTGCCCACCACCTCCTGCACAGGCTTCCAGTTAGAAACCCTCAGTTCCATTCACTGAGAGAGTGGCAGGTGCCACAGGACTGCTGTTCAGAACACAAGCTCCCACTGTCCCACTCTACCCAGCTTCTTCCTGGGTTGTAAGGACCCAAGTGAGCCAGGCAGAGGCCTGCCTGGGAAGCCACAGGTAGGTGGGAGACTCAGATGTGAGTCCAGGTGATGCTGTCACAGGACTGCCAGCATAGGCTGGCAGAGTGACTTAGGTGGCAAGAATGCCTGCCTAGTAAGTATGAGGCCAAGTTCAAATCCTATGCCGCCAAAAAAATAAATAAATAAAATAGACTTGCAGCATGGCAACTCGAATTTCAGCATGTGGCCAGAGGCTGGTGTGGGGACTGTATGTTGTGCAATTCCTGTGCACAAGGACCTTCATTTGTAAGGAACATACTCATCCCATCAGGACAGCTCCAGCCATGTTTGTCACTTGGTGCATGGCCTTGGGCAGCTCACTTGATTTTTCTGACTCTCCATTTCCTCATAATTGATACGATAAGAGTACAAAGGACATGGTACCGAGCTACAGGAGCTCAGGACTGCCCAGACTAGAGTGGGCAAAGAGCCAGAAGCCAGAAGGCCTAGGAGATAACCTTGCCTAATATGTGGTCCATAACAGCATTCTTCAGCCTTGTTACAGGGTCCTTCCACAGAGGTGGTATTGAATGAGTGACAAGACTGTTTCCAGAATTCAGACTTACACAGAGCCCCAATATTGGCCTCTAGCAAGGCCCAAGGGGAAAAAAAAGAAAAACCCCAGGCACTCAGCAGGAAGCAAAGTTTTAAAAAAGAGCATGTGACCTCTCTGGGGAGCCCACTGGGGACCTGCCACCCACACATGGCTGGGGCAGTTCAGGGGTGTGGACTCCTGTGGGCTGCTGTCTGATGCGAGGTGCGTGCTTGGGGCCAGTGCTCTCCCAACAGTGAGGAGTGGTCAGAGAAGGCCTCCGGGAGGAAGAGGTGACCCACCACTGAGCAGCACAGAGGTGAGAGGCTGATCTTTCTGTGGGGAAGTGACTTGGGAAGTTGAAGTCAGAACACAGACCTCTGGGTGCTGGGCAGAAGAGCCCAGGCTGGACCCATAAAAGGCAGAAGCGGGGTTGGTAAAGTCCTGGTGGGCCCAGGTGGAACAGGGCCTACGAATGTGGAGAGGAGCAAGTGAACCTTAGAACTATTTCATACGGAGGCAGAGGACCCGTGGTTGCCTAGCATGCACAAGGCCCTGGGTTTGATCCACAAAAAAAAAAAAAGAGAAAAGAAAAAAAGGCAGACCTAATGGTACAAACCAGGACTTGGAGTGGGAGAGCCAGGAGTTTGCCAGACTGGTAAGAGGAGGGTCTGGGGTGGGGGCAGGGTGGCACAGCTCCCTTCCCTTCCACAAGGTACACAGCTGCCTGGGCTTGGGGGAGGGCTTGGAGCTCATGACTCAGGGCAGCCAGCCTGTGGTCAGACGCTCACATCCAGCTGACTCAAACTGTGGCCCAAGGGTCCGTTGCCCTCCAGTGGCCTGAGGTTCTTGCCAGGCAGGTGTAGGCACCTTGGGCTGACCAGAACCCCAAGGAAGAAATGTGTGCAGCTCTCCAATTCCTTCTCTGAACACTGGGCTCCCCTCCCCCTGCAGCTGCCTTTCTGGATGAAGGGAGGGGGAAGTGGCCAGAAGGGGAAGTTTGAGGAGTTCCTGCCCAGCCTGTCACCAGTCTCCTCAGGTCTTCAGAACAGCCGTGACCATGGAGTCTGTGGAGACCCCCGTCAAGGATGGCATCCTCTACCAGCAGCACATCAAGTTTGGCAAGGTGGGGACCCCTGGCCACCAGGCAGTTACCCAAGGCCAGCGGTGGCCAGAGAAAGCAGCTTCTGCCCTAGACAGCCCACCCAGACCTGGGGGATCCGGGTGGGGGTGGAGCCCAGGAATTCAGGAGTGGAACACACCCAGTCCTGGGCCTGAGAGTGTTGGGGCTAACCAGGCCTTCATAAGACCCTTTCTCATTTTTTGGGGGGGGAAGTCAAGATCAGGGAAGGGTCTAAGAGTCGCAACCTCCCAGCAGGGCAGAGCCTTGGGCCTTCTGACCCATGTGCTGGTGGCTGAGCTGGAGGAGTGCCCAGAGGTGGAACACTGCCACACGCAGGCTGGGCCCCCACCCCTGTCATGGGAGGAGAGGACGAGGGGAGTTCACCTCTCCTCAGGCGGGCAGCAAGCCCCACACCCCTACAGCTCCACTCTACCACTGCTGCCCCAGGCAGATAAACGGTCTGTTTCCTTTGCTAGAAGCTATTTGCATGTTTCCTTCCTTGCCGGCATGAGGCTGAGGCCTCCTTCCCACTGCTGGGCCTGTGGTCTAAATGTCCCAATGTAACAGCAGTGTCAGATGGTTCACCTCCGCCACTAGATACTCGAGAGACATAATCCAGTAGAAGCCCTAAATGTCCTCATGACCCTTTGAGAGACAGGACACTGATGTTATAGAGACCACAGTTAGGACAGGGGCAGGGGTGGGATTTGAACTCAGGGCTGGCCAACCCCAAGTATGGACTCTTCCCCTTCCTGGCTCATCCTAGCAAGGCCTTCCTTGGTGCCCTGAGGTCTTGGGGCAGTAATAGCTGCTCAGCTATTACTGCCAAGTGGCAGGGAGAATCTGCCACCCAAGGTTCTCCTCCCTGCTGCAGAAGTCCTGGCGGAAGGTGTGGGCTCTGCTATATGCAGGAGGCCCATCAGGTGTGGCACGGCTGGAGAGCTGGGACATTCGAGATGGCGGCCTAGGGCCAGCAAATGACAGAGCTACCGGGCCTGGCCGTCGGGGGGAACGGCGAGTCATCCGCCTGGCCGACTGTGTGTCCGTGCTGCCGGCGGATGGTGAGAGCTGCCCCCGGGATACAGGTGCTTTCCTGCTCACCACCACAGAGCGAAGCCACCTGCTGGCTGCACAGCACCGTCAGTCATGGATGGGTCCCATCTGCCAGCTGGCATTCCCGGTGAGTGCAGGGCGGGCGGGCGAGGCAGTCTGAGGGCTGGCCTGGGGCACCACTCACCCCATACTTGCTCATCGCCTTGCTCACTCACATCCTGTCATTTTGTAAGTGTTGCCCAGCACCTGCAAGCCTGGGAAACAGCCCAGAAACTCAGAATGAATCTCAAATGGCTGTGCTTGCTATAATGAAAATGAAACCCTGGGATGGAGCTGGAGTAAACAGGCGAACATTAGTCAAAAGGGCAAAAGGGTCAAGGAAGGCCTCTCCGGAGGCCTGAGTCCAATGACAAATAGGAGCCCATTAGGCAAAGGGCTGAGGAAAGCATATCCCAGCCACTAAGGCATGAGAAGTCTCATGAACAGAAGGGGCATCACGGGCAAAGGCCCAGGGGCAGAGAGAAGTGTGGTGTGTTCCAGGAGCAGACTGAAGGTAGGGCCCGAGGGTAGGGAACGGGGAAAGAATGCAGGAGGTGATAAAGTTGGAAGGTTTGGTGGGAGCTAGCTGAAACCACCTCAGGCCATGTGTGGAACTGGGGATTTCATTCTGAGTCAGAGGAGAAGCCTTTGGAGTGTTTAAGCCCGATGCTGATGGCTGTAAAGCCTCATAGGGTTTGCGATGGACCAAAATGGAACAAGTGTGGTGGTTCCTTAAAAAAGTTAATCATGGAGTTACCATATGAGCTGGCAATTTAACTGCTAGGTGTATACCCAAGAGAATTGAAGCAAGTGTTCAAACAAAACTTAAACATAATGTTCACAGTATCTCTGTTCACACTGGTCCCCCGGTGAATGGATAAACAAAACCATTATGTAGCCATGCAGTGGAATATTATTCAGCCCTAAAAAGGGAATGGAATGCTGACACATGCTACAACATAGATGAGTCCTAAGACACTTATGTTAAGTGAAAGAAGCCAGACACAAAAGGATGCATATGGCATGATTCTATTTATATGAAATATCTGGAATAGGCAAACCCAGAAGGACAGAAAGCAGATAAGTGGGTGCCAGGAGCTGCAGGAGGGAGAAATGGGGTGACTGGTAGTGAATACCAGGTTTCCATTTTAGGTGATGAAAAATTCTGGGGTTAGGCAGTGACAATGACTACACAGCCTTAACAATGTACTAAATACACTGAATTGTGTATTTTAGAAAGGCTTAAATATATACAAAATGAACAGAACCAAGGAGATGAGGAAGGAAATGGCTGTTTGGCTCTAGCTATGATCCCGTGGATCAAGGTGGTTGTGGTAGAGGTACCCAGAGTCAGAAAGAGCCTGAAGGACAAGCTCAAGGTCTGGATGTAGAATGAGGGGTAGGGAAGGTCAGAGGCAACTTGCAGGTGGCTATGCTGAGATGGAGAAAGCAGCCTGGGCATTGCTCCCTGGCAGGTGCACTCATGTGTCACCCTTTCACTGCGCCAAGCGGTCAGATGCACACACAGCCTAGTGAAACACGTCCTCCACCCCAGCCCAGCACCCTCAAGGTGGAGCCCAGTGAGTTCTCCTGCACCATAGTTCAGGTGGGGAATAGCCTCTTAGGGGTGCCCAGAGTCAAGTTGGGGGGAGTCCCTCAGAACTGGGACTGGCACCCAGTTTCCTGCTATGAAGTCCTGGAGTGCTGGCCCCACGGGGAGGACTCCAACCTCTAACCTGACCCATTCCCCAGGGCACAGGGGAGTTTTCCTCGGGGCCAGCTGAGGCTCAGTCTCCCAAGAGGAGCCTTGTTCCCATGGAGGACAACTCCATCTACTCATCCTGGCAGGAAGGTGAGTCAGGGAGGCCCTGGGCTACTTCAGCCCCACCACCCTCAGAGCTGGGGTTACTGGGGGCTGATGGGGTGCCATGCTGTCTGCTTGCAGTGGGCGAGTTTCAGGTGGTGGTGCAGAGAACCAAGGCTGCCACCCGCTGCCAACTGAAGGGGCCCTACCTTCTGGTGCTGAGCCAAGATGGCATCCAGCTGAGGGAGACTTCCAGCCCCCAGACCCTCTACAGCTGGCCCTACCATTTCCTGCGCAAGTTTGGCTCTGACAAGGTGAGGTGCTTGGCAACCCCTCCCCTACCAGCAGGTCTCTATAGGACAGCGGAAGGGCAGTGAGTGGCCAGTGGCCAGGCCTCTCCGCTGATGAGCCCCGCCTGTGTTGCCTGTGTACAGGGCGTGTTCTCCTTTGAGGCTGGTCGTCGCTGTGACTCAGGTGAAGGCCTCTTTGCCTTCAGCAGCTCACGTGCCCCTGACATGTGTGGGGCCGTGGCTGCTGCCATTGCCCGCCAGCGGGAGCGACTAAAAGAGTTGGCTATGCCCCAGCCCTGTCTTCTGTCCCGGGCTACCTCCCTGCCCTCCCTGGAGCCCCCCGGAGAGCTTCGGGAGGTGGCACCAGGGTCTGAACCACCCACCTCCAGGAGGGCACAGAAGGATGAACCTGGACCCCAGAGCCTGCCACTGCTGCTGGGCCCCACAGGTGAAGAGCCAGCATCTGATCTCTATGCCTCAGTGTGCAAGCGGACCAGCGGGCCCCCAGCCACTGCTGAGCACCTATATGAGAACCTGTGTGTGCTGGAGCCTAGCTCTGGGCTGCCCAATGGGGCCCCTAGATCTCAAGAGGGCCCCCATGGTGGTCGCAGTCCTTTGGCCAGTCCCATCTACCACAACAATGAGGACCTGAGCTGGCCCAGCCCGGCCCAGGACAGCAGCCTGGAGGCCCAGTACCGGAGACTGCTGGAATTGGAGTTGGACGACGCAGGTGGCACCAGCCGATCCAGCACTCAAGCAGGCTTCAAAGCCAAGCTGGTGACACTTCTGAGTCGTGAACGGAAGAAGGGCCCTGTTCCCTGTGACCGGCCCTGAAAGACTGTGCACTTGCAGCAGAAGGACAGAGGTGTTCTCCTTGAGATGGGAGGATGAACACCTGTGACACACACCCTGTCTACTCTGGCCTGCCCTCCCCACAGTGTACAGTGTACAGTTTTCCCAATAAAAAAGCCTGCCAGCCCCTCTCGGTTGTGCCTGTGAGGGTTGCACTGCCTGACTTTAGCTCCTAGAAGCAAGACTTGTGGGTCCCCATGGGCACATGCCCCCTCACATTGATTGTAGCAAACACCAGTGCCCGGTACTGGGCGCTAGGGACATGGATGACATGGGCCTGACTGACTTCAGCCACCTGTGGGCTCAAATCCACTTGAGCAGATGGACAGATTGCAAATAGTTTGGGCTTCATGTGGTTCTGTGCAGCAGGAATGGCATGGACCATCAAGTGGAGGGAGACAGGAGACTTGCTGAGGGGAGAGGTGCCCCTGAACTGAGCTGGAAAGGCAAACGGCACCACCGAGCAGGCGGCAAGCCTGCCTGGGCTCTCCAGGCTGATGATGGGCAGACATGGGCCCGAGGTGACAAGGAGGACATGACTCCAGAGGTGCTGTGTGTGTGTTGCAATGAGCCAGGGCCATTGTCAGGGGAGGGAGATGGTCAGACGTGAGAAGGACTGATGAGAAGGCCAGGACACCCAAGCTAGGGAAGAGGTAGTGGGGGGCTACATGTTGGTGAGGGGCAGGTGGGACGATTTAAAGATGTGCAAGCCCAAAACCCTTGTTCTTGCTGAAATTCAATTTGCAGATACTTCCGCAGAAACTTCAGCCTCAGTTTCTTCAACTGTAAAGGATAAAGATAAAATATCACATGGGGTGAGGTAGAGCTCATCAGGGGAAGAGGGCTTGCCCAGCGTGCATGAGGCCCTGGTGTTTTTTGTTTGTTTTGTTTTGGGTGGCACTGGGGTTTTAACTTAGGACTTCACACTTGTTAGGCAGGTGCTCTACCACTGAAGCCACTCAGCCAGCCCTGTTTTGTGTTGGGTATTTTCAAGATAAGGTCTCTTGAACTATTTCCCCAGGGCTGACTTTGAACCACGATCCTGCGGATCCCTGCCTCCCAAGTAGCTAGGATTATAGCCGTGAGCTACTGGAGCCCAACTGAGGCCCTGGATTTGATGCCTAGCACCACATACACACAAAAAAAAATTGTTTAAAAAAAAAGAGCAAAATGTATTAAGACTATTTCTTCACTGGAGTTACTAATGCCTACCTCATGCCAGGCACTGGGTACACAGCTGTGTTCTAGACAACCTCAGCCCTCTTCTCAAGGAACTGACCTTCCAGAGGGAGATGAACAACTTTCCTGAAGACTTCAGTGCCTGCTTTCCCCCTCTGCTATTCCTCCACCATCTCTTGGATCACCCATGCGTGTGCTGTGATGACACCTTCAAGGATCTGGTTTCTTGGCCCCTTGAACTAAATTCTACTTTAGCTACCCATATTTGGCAGGGGGGCAGTACTGGGGTTTGAACTCAGGACCTTGTGCCTGCTGGACAGGCACTCTACCACTTGAGCCAGGCCTCAAGTCCCAACATTTTCTTTTCATTTTTTTCTTTTCCTTCCCCTCCCTCCCTCCCTTCCTTCCTTTCTTTTTCTTTTTTTTGACAGGTTCTTGCTATGTAGCCCAGGTGAATCTAGAACTCTCAGTCCTGCTGCCTCAGCCTCCCAAGAGCTGGAATTATGTGTATTTGCTACGATGCCCAGCTCCCCTTTCTCTTTTGGACCCATTAATTCTATCAGCATTATCATCATCGTCATCACCACCCCATCACCATCACCATCATGTTATCCTTTTCATGATCATTTCTAGCCTCACACAAATTCACATATTAAACCTTCCTTGACCTCATATTCCCCTCAGGCACCTCTCCATTTCTCTGTTCCTCTTCACAGTGAAACTCCTCAAAAGAGTTGATTACTCTCATTTCCACTTTCTCACCCCTCGTTCTCCCCTTAACTAACCCGAGTCTCACCCTTTCTCCTATCACTCCACTCCACCTTGCTCCCAGCAAGGAAAGCACCCTGGACTCTGCCAGCTTTGAAGCAGCGTTCCACACTCCATACCTTTTTGACATACCTTCTTGAGACACCTGCTCTTTGTGGTTTTCCTCCTGTGTCATGGTCTCTCCTTCCTGGCCTTTCATTTTTGTTTTTGGCAGCACTAGGGATCAAACCTAGGGCCTTTTTTTTGTTTTTGCAGTACTGGGGTTTGAACTCAGGGCCTACACCTTGAGCCACTCCACCAGCCCTTTTTGTGTGTTGTGTGTGTGATGGGTCTTTTTTTTTTCAAAATAGGGTCTCACAAACTATTTTCCCAGGCTGGTTTTGAATGGCAATCCTCCTGATCTCTGCCCAAGATCTGAGTAGCTATGATTACAGGTGTGAGCCCCCGTCCCCCCAGCTCCCAGGGCCTTTTGTACATGCTAGGCCACCATACAGCTCCAGTCATGGCTCCACCACTACCTTCCCCCAGCCCCTTTGGCTATCTTTTCTGTTAGAGTTCTCTAGGCTTCTAGCCTTGACTGCAGTGTAGCTCAAGCCTGGCTACACATGAAATCACCTAGAAGCCTTTGAAAAATGCCCATGTCTAGGCCCACATCCAGTGGTACTGATTTCATCAGGCCCTGGGTGCAAGCCTTAGCGCTGCCAAAAAAATAAAAGGCATTCTCCATTTTAATGTGGGCAAGTTCAGTGCAGTGCTGTTCCAGGGTGCGTGTGAACACAGAGGGCAAAGCCTGAGAGGATGTTAGTGCCACGGGAGCCAGATTTTGGTGTCACTTGCTGAAGCACTTCCTGGCAGGTAGTCTTCCTGTGGTGATGAGACTGCCATGGCTCAAGCTGAGGCTAGGAGGCTCCCAGTCAGGTGGCTGCAGCCCCTCCTCCCCATACTGGGAAGCCAAGCCCAGCCCTTGCTAGCCACCAAACCCTAGGACCCCACTGAAGGTTACCCAGGGAGTCATGGCCAGAACTGGAACCAAGCACTCTTGAGTCCCTGGTCTGGCATTCTTTCCTTCATTTAAATTTAAGCCTCAAATCCAGGGCTGCTGGCTCATTCCTGTAATCATAGCTACTTGGGAGGCTGAGATTGGGAGGATCGAGTTTCAAGGCCAGTTTAGACAAATAGTTCCTAAGACCCCAGCTCCAAAATAACCAGAGCAAAATGGACTAGAGGAGTGGTTCAAGCAGCAGAGTGCCTGCTTTGAGTGCCAGCTTTGCAGGCACAAAGCCTTGAATTCAAACCCTATTCCCACCAAAAAAAAAAAAAAAAAAACTAGGCCTCAAATCAGCACTTGGGAGCTGAGGCTAGAGTATGGCAAGTTCACAGCTACATAGTGAGTTCTTGCTATATAGCAAAACCTTGTCTCAAAACAACAACAACAAAACCCTAAGCCTCTGTTCCACGGTGACTCTGTGATGTTCTAACCAAATCATAGGAAAGAAGTCCTTGGAAATGCTCTAAACCCTGGAGCTGCAAGAACCCGTGACACCAGGGGGCGCTGTGCCCCAGTCCAGGCTCTGTTCCTATCCTGGGGCTGCCTGGCTGGAAGGATTGGCTGCTAGATCCAAGCTGAGTCTTCCTTTCACTGGCCCAAGGACTGTCCCTTGGCAGGGTCCTTTCTGCTTGAAGACAGCCAGGATCCCCAGGCAGCCACTTCCTCTTTTGCTCATTTGCTGTTTCACTTCTGCAATACTTCCTTCCTTTATCTGTTCATTCATATCCACTCTGTGTAGGCACTGTGGACAAAACAAGCCCCTGCTCTCACGGGGCTGACGTTCTAATGGGAATAAAGAATGAAAGAAACAATACAAGTCAGGCGCCAGTGACTCATGCCTGTTATCCTACCTATTAGAGAGGCTGAGATTGGGAGGATCACAGTTCAAGGCCAGCCTGGATAAATAGTTCATGAGACACCCCCCCCCCATCTCCAAAATAACCAGAGCAAAATAAACTGGAAGTGTGGCTCAAGCAGTAGTGGTACAGCACCTGCTTTGTAAGTGCAAAGCCCTGAGTTCAAACCCCAGTCCCACCAAAAGGAAAAAAAATGTCAACAAGTGGAAAAAATAAAGCAGGGTAAGGGACTAGTGACACTGATGAGGTGACAGGGGATTGCTATTTTAGAGAGGGTGATCAGGGAAAGCCCCCTGGAAGAGGCAATATCTGAGCAAAGAAAAGTGAAAAGCCTGTTGCTTGGATATATGGAGAAAAGGAGAAAAGTGTTTTATAGGGAACAGCCAGTGCAAAGGCCCTAAGGCAGGAATATGCTGAGAAAATTGGAGGAACAGTGAGAAGACCAGAGAGGCTTGAATGGAGTATGCCAGTAATGGGAGGCTGACCCAGTTTCTCGGTGTTGTATAGATCTTAGGAGTTTAGTTTTATTTTAAGCGCAGTGTGATCCCACTTGAATGCAAAAAGCTGAGGTGTGATCTCTGCTTTAAAAAATATCATGTGGCTGCTGCATAAAGATTATGCAGGCGACAGGAGACTGTGACAGGTGTTCAGGTACAAGATGATGGTGACTGGTACAACAGTGGTAGCAGGGGTTAGCTGTGAAAACATTTTGAAGGTGGAATGTGCAGGACCTGGTGGATGACAGAGATGGAAAAGGAAGGATAACATCATGGTTTCTGCTCAACCAGTTGTATGAACGGTGATAACACTGAGGTAAGGAAGGAGTGAGGGAAAATAACAAGTTTGACTTGGGAAAAAGATGATGTGAGATATCTAACACACATCTAGACAGATAACTAAATGTGGGGTTCTAGGGTACTTGGGGAGAGTCCAGGCTGGTCATTTAACTTGGAAGTCCTTAGTATACAAAAGTTAATGAAAGCCACAGGACAGCAACAGGGTCTTGGGGAGTGAGTGTAAAGATCAGATGGCCAAGAGAGGAGCCATGAGGCAGATGAGAAGACATCAAGGGAGGAAAAAGATGCCACTGAAACAGGAGGAACTTTTTTTCTCCCTAGGACTGGGGTTTGAACTCAGGGCCTACATCTTGAGCCACTCCACCAGTCCTTTTTTGTGGGGTTTTTTCAAGATAGAGTCTCTTGAACTATTTGGCAGGGCTGACTTTGAACCATGACTCTCCTGATCTCTGTCTCCTGAGCTAGGATTACAGGCGTGAGCTACCAGCACCCAGCAGCAGGAGGAACCTTGAAGGGGTAAGGGCTTGTTCCAGAAAAGGAAGTCATCAACCTGGACTAGAGCTGCTCCTAGGCTGGGGAGGATGAAAGCCAATGGCCACCACTGATTTGATGGAGGGCAAGGGACATCATGAAAAGAGAGGTCTCAGAGGACTAGTGGGCACAAGAGGCTGACTGGAAAGACATCAGGAGGAAAGCAAGTGGTGACAGGAGGATAGATAGACAACTAGAAAGGATGTCTTCAAAGATGACAACTCTGAGAGAGGTTATGGTAGTGAGGGGAATGACGCAGAAGAGGGAGAATGTGATGGTGGAGAGGGGATAACAGCAGCGACCATGTCCTAGAAGGCGAGAAGAGAGTGGGCACTTGGTCACTCACCCACTCAGATGAGCTCAATTTTCCCCTCTGCAGCCCTAGCTGAGGCGTGGAGGGGGGGGTCAAAGTGGGGCTCTGACAGCACCACCGCTGGAGTCTCCCATTCCACATCTGCTGGCAGGGCTGTCTGGTCTGGAGTGGGGTATAAATAGACACAATCCATCCCAAAAGTGTGTGCTGGGCGCTAGGTCAGGGTCTCAGTGCTACCACCTGCCGCTAACTGTCCCGTGTCTGGGGATGGGAGTGGGGGCCCTGCTAACATCGTCAAGCCCAAGGGCACTGACAAAGGCCTTCTCTAACTCCGCTGGTTGTTGCTTTTTTTTTTTTTTTTTTTCCTGGTTTCTGTAGAATGCTCTGCAAACCTAACTTTTTTATCTGATGGGTTTTGGTGCTGGGGACGGAACCAAGGACATGCTAAGCAAGTGCTCTATCACTGAGCTACATGCTCAGCCCCTACAAACCTAACTTGAAACTACACTGTCTCGCCTCGACTTGCCCCACCCCTCGAGTCTCTGGGATTTAGAAGTTCTGGACCCCCCCACCCCCACTTAAGGCGATTCTGAGAAAAGAGCATTATTGTCCCATTTTGTCGAGGAGGAAACTAAGGTGAGAGTCAGCTGAAGTCTGGGCCAGTCTGATTTCAAAAGACTTCTTTTTCTTCCACTCCGCCTGTGGGAGGCTCAAGGGGCTGGACAAGGTAGCGTTTCCAGGCGCGGGGTCCAAGCAGCTCAGGCCCCGCCCCGGCCCCGCCCCGGCCCCGCCCCACTCAGGATGACGGAGTCTGGGCAGTGCCATCAGCGCAAAGAGACATAGGTCTTTGTGATTGGTTGAGGTGGAAGAATTGGGTGGGGCTTCCCACCGGCTAAGAGGCCACCCGTGGGCGTGGCTATTATGGGGCGTGGCCTGAGACCCCGCCTCCTTCCGCGGACTCAAAGCGGACAGCGTCCGCGGAGGCGGGGTCAGAGCGCAGGCGGAGGATTCCAACGCAGCTCTCTGGTGCCCGCCGTGAAACAGCGGCCCCGCGGGGCAGAGCAGGTATGGATGTCCGCGCGGGGTGTCTTGGACTGGACCAGGTTGGGGGGCCAGAGGCCTGTTGACGACCACAGAGAACTTTGGGGGGATCTGGCCAGCACGGCTTCCTCCCGCGGGCTCCGGCCCCTGCCCCCGCCTTTCTGCGGCGAAGCCGGTCGTGGGCTGATTGGCGCCTGCGCTGCTTCCTTCGGCCGGGATCTGGCCAAGCGTACGGCCCGGGCGGGGGGACTAGCGGGAAACTGAGTCACCTCGGAGTGGGAGCAGTGCTGCGTGGGTGGCACCACTCTTGCTGAGTTCCAGGACGGATCTCCTTTCTTGCCACGCTTTGGGGGCCTGGCCACCACCACTCCTCGTAGGGGCAGCGCCCCATTCCTGCCTCCCGTTCTGCACCCAAGAGGCCCGCCCTGGCTCCCAGCGGTCTCGACCGGCCCCAGAATGGCTAGGACCCGCTCCAGCCGCCTCCTTCCCCACCCCTCCCCCTCGCGTCCCGAGCCCCCGAGTGCTCCCTCCGCAGGCTCTCCGCACAGTGTCAGCTTACACGCCTTATATAGTCCGAGCAGGCTCCAGCCGTGGCCTGCCTGCCGGGACCTGGGGGCGGGGGAGTGGAGAGCGGGCCCCTGACTCACCCCGCCGCCCTAGGCTCAAGGCTGGTTTGGGGGGCGGCTCCAGTCTGACATGGGGAAAGCCGTGCCAAATTAGTACTGCAGCCCACCTCGGGGTGAAAAGAATTTGGAACCTGAATGAGGGCTTCCCCACCCTCCCTGTCCTAGGAGAGGGCGGCTGCCGTTGTCTTTACAAATGTGGTTTGCCAGCCAGCAGTCCAGCCAAGATACCTGCCTACCCTTACCCTGGGTGTTCAATGTCTGCCCGTGCCTGTTTGGCTCGTGTCCAAAGCTAGAGACTAGAGCTGGACCTGCCTGACATACCAGCCACTCACCTTCTGTTCTCTCCTCTCAGGAACAAGCACCATGGATTCCTTCAAAGTAGTGCTGGAGGGTCCAGCACCTTGGGGCTTCCGGCTGCAAGGGGGCAAGGACTTCAATGTGCCCCTCTCCATCTCCCGGGTGAGCCTTGATTGGGCAGTTGACTCTTCCAGGGGACTTTGTTTGGGTGGAATCTGAGCAGGAGCAAGTCAGGGGCCAACAGGCCAGAAAGTGTCCAGGTCCAGAAATGTGGACACCTGTTGCAAGGACTAAGTAGAGGAGCCCCCAGACTTCTCTAGCTCTGTGCTGTACTTGATACCATTCCACTAACCTCCTGCCTGGGGCCACCTCTGAGGGCCACGGAGAGGCCCATTCTGCAGGATGTGAGCCCGTCTCCAGGAAGTGTCTATGCATGAGGGAACAGTTTGTGGAGCCAGGTTCCAGGCAGGGCACTATGACCACAGGATCTTACTTTAAACTCGCCGCCCAGGAAATAGTAGTTGTCATACTGTTTTTCCAGTGGAGACAACTCAGAAAAGAGTAGGGCTCCATCAGCAACTCCATGGTAGAGCCAGGATTGAATGAAGTATAGAATGGCATGCACTTTCTGTGAGCTTGAGAAAGGGCTCTTGCCAGCCTATGTGAACCTGCATCCCCATCTGCTGGTCCCATTCAGGATGTGGTAGCCTTTGATTCTAAGCAGAGGTGTGGTAAGGCTGGGCTCCAATTCCTTAGTTGGGTCCATGGTTGGGGGGGTGGGGGCGGAGCTGGGATCTGGCCCCTCCCTGTGGCAGGGGGATTGCCTTATAAGCCCAAGAATGCAGCTCCTGCTGGAATGTCCAACAGTGGTTAGAGTCTGCAGAACCCAAAAGGATTGGCCTAGGCCCGGACCCCACAACCCTATTGGTGGGCCCCTTACCTGGTCATCAGGCTGAAGCACCAGCTGTAGAGTCCAGAGATGAGACTCAGAGTAAACCGCACGCTCAGAGTGGGTGAGGCCAGCCCTTGGGTTTGGTGTCTCTGACTGTGGCCTAGGGGTCAGAAGGGGGCGGGGACTTCCTGCCCTCATATCCGCCTGCCCAGAGGGGCCCACCCAGGCACCCTGTGGGCCGGCAGCTGTTGGCAGGAAGCCCAGGTCAAATCCAGCCTAGAGGGGGCCAGAAGTTTGTCCAGGTGCCCACTGTTCAGCCTGAAGGGTCCAGAGGCACAGTCTGTCTGTGGGAGCTGGTCTTGGTTTCCAAGGCAGACAGGCAGGCAACATTCTTCCCAGGGGTCCTTCTACTGAGTTTCCCTGGAACCTGCCCTGCCAGCAGAATAACTAAAGGCAGTGGTCCTCCTCCCATACACATACACCCCTAAACAATCTTCAAGTCTGTCCTCCATCTCTTCTCTGGGAAAGTACTGGCCAGTCTCAGCCTCAGTTTCTTCATTAGTTCAGTATGGCCTTTCAGATGAAGCCTGTTGGGGGCACTCTGGGCCAGGGCTTCCTTTTCCCTGGCCCTTGCATGTGGGTGGGGCCACCCGCTGAGCCCTGCCCTGGAGTTGGATCTAGGCCCTGATGGGTGGATGGGTGGGGTGGTCTTTTCTGAACTGGGCCAGCCCCCCTACCCCTCCCCTGACCCCAAAGTGGAGGGAGTAGGGAGGGGCTAGAGCTGGCTGTGGGCCCAGGCCTGGGAGATGAGGTAATGTCTGGGATTGGGGGGTTGGGCTACTCAGTGGAGCCCTCAGGCTGACTCACCCCCACCCATACACTGTCCAGCCCCCTGGTTTTTCCCTTCCTTAATCCCTGTGCCTCCTTCTGCCCCTGGCCTCAGTTCCTCCCTGCAGCCACCTCCCCCAAGAGCACTTTCCCTTCTCCACCTATCTGAACACTGCCCTACCCCTACCCCTTACTTCCTGCACTTTCTCACGCCAGGGAAGAACGTAGTCCATCTCACACACACACACTCTTTTTCAAGGAGCCACTCCTCCTCACCTGAAGACCCCCATCTGAGGTTCAGCCCACACCCTCCCTCCCAGAAACCTGCCTATGTGGGTAGGGAGTGGCTGAACCAGGTTTTCTTTCTACTGACTCACTGTAACCTAAAGTAAGTCACTTCTCCTCCAGGGTGTCACTTCCCTATACCCATTATAAGGGGTTAGATTGAACTAAAGTAAAGGTGAGATAGGGGAGGGAATCAAGGAGTCTTTGTTCATTTTGAGACAGGGTCTTGCTCTGTAGCCTCAGCCTCCCAGGTGCTGGAACTACAAGTGTGTATTACCATGCCTGTCATCGGGGAGTCTTTTGAAGTGTGTTGACCCTTCAGTGTATTGACATCTAAGCTGAAGAGACGTAGAGTGGTGGAACCTTAGGGTCAGGTTCAAATCTTGGTCCTGCCTTTTACTATTTGGGTAACTTGAGGCAAGATGTTTAACAATTTGTCCAGAGTTGGCTTGTTGGAGGATTCAGTGGCAATGTGGCAATACTAGGTGCTCTAGATTAGAGTACTGTTCTTACTCTTTTTCATTTAGCAGGTGGAGAAGGGGCGCTCTACTCACCACCTCTCCACTCTTCTAACTTCCCCTGTGAGCACGAAATTGGGCTATCAAATCCACCTGTGCCTTTTGTCCTAATGCTGGCCATCTCTGTCTGGTCCTTCTGCTCCCTGGCATCTCTCTACAACCTCTCACCTCTTCTCTCCCTGCCTCAGCACAGTCTGTGCACCAGTACACCTGAGGAGCCTCCTGGAGTCTTGGGCAGCCTGTACTCCAAATGCTTACTACCACCTGTGAAGTATAAATTAAGTCTGCTCAATGCAGTGCCACACCCCTTGCCAGATGGCTGGGGAAGCCCCATGGGCTCAGACTCATAGACAACCACCTGCTGGGGCTGGGCTGGAAGGGCCCAGTAGAGTTTGTCAGGGTCCTGGGAAGTACCCCATCTGAGACCTGAAAACTGCTAGGGGCCAATTCTGCCCTCAAGGCTAAGTCCTGGTTGCTTCACCAGGTATTTGAGGCCTTCATAAATGGAACCTCTCTCCCCTAAGGCAGCATTCTCCTTTGACCAAGGCACACAGAAATCGTCAGCTAATGCTGGTGGTGGTCACCATTCCTCCAAGCCTGCTGTATCCCCTCATTTGCCACACAAAGCAGGGATTCCCATTTCAGCTCAAAGAGTTGGGGGGCATGGGGTGCCACCTATTTACAGCCCATGAAGCCCCATCACCTTGAGTCCCATTCAGGCACTGTTCACAGGGAAGCTGTAGGTGACAAAGCCTATTCCTGGTCTCAAAGGATCCAGGCAGGGCTGTGGATGTAGCTCAGTGGTTAAGTGCACAAGCCCCTGAGTTTAATCCCTGGTACTGCCAAAAAAACAAAACAAAACAACAAGGAGTCCAGGCAGATCCCTTCTGAGGGCCCCAGAACAGGTTGTTAGTAGTGCCAGGTGTGGATGTCACAGGCACAAACCAGAGGGCATATCTAGTAGGTGGAACAGCCTGGGCAGGAGGCCAGCAGGAGCTTCACAAGGCTGTGGTCATAGCCCAGAAGTTTGGGGCTTAGCCTGAGAGTGGCTGTGTTGAGGTCATAGCAGTGTGGGCTGTGAGAAGGGAGGGTCATGGAGGTGAATAAATAAAGTGGGTTGGGGGAATGGTACAGGTCAGTGAGCACAACCACCTACCTCCAAGGTCATTTTGGCATCCAGCAGCTGCGCAGAAAAATGTTGACTGACGAGGGCCTCAGTTCTGGAAGCAAGGCAGCTTAGTGTGGGCAGGGTTGACTGCTGTTGGCCTCCGTTTGGGCTGCAGTGCCCTGAGCCCTTGTGACTCTTGGCCTCTCCACAGCTCACTCCTGGAGGGAAAGCGGCACAAGCTGGCGTGGCAGTTGGCGACTGGGTGCTGAGCATTGATGGGGAAAATGCTGGGAGCCTCACACACATCGAAGCCCAAAACAAGATCCGAGCCTGTGGGGAGCGGCTCAGCCTGGGTCTCAGCAGGTGGGGGCGCTGGCCAGGCTGGTGGGTGCTTGCCTGTGCCTTCTGGCCTGACCCACCAACGCCACTTTCCCTTCTCCTCCAGGGCCCAGCCAGTTCAGAGCAAGCCGCAGAAGGTAAGCAGGACAGGGGACATCAGGGCTGCGGGAAAGAGGGGCTTGAACTTGAGCTACCTGCCCTCCTCGGCCCAGCCTTGGTACCCTGATGGGGAGCAGAGAACATGCCAGACTAGTCTGGGGAACTGGGACTGTAGCAGGGGGCTGCCGCACGGTTCTCGCACGATGCATGTCTGCTTGTCTGTCTGTCTGCCTCCTTCCCAACAGCCTGTGCTGCTCACTCGCCCACACTTGGTTCTCCCTTGTCCCTGCATGGGCTGAGATCATCGCTTCCAAATGGGCCCCTTGAAATCCGAGTCACCCCTTCCCCTAGCCTCTGGCCAAATGTGCGGGGGCGGAGCTGGAACTGCCACTGCCCCTTCCAGGGGGGTCGCCCCACTCCCGCCCAGGCCCCCACCCCCGCACGCCCTGCCCGGCTCTGTCTCCGCCCAGGCCCAGGCCCCTGCCGCGGAGCCTCCGCGGTACACCTTTGCACCCAGCGCCTCCCTCAACAAGACGGCCCGGCCCTTTGGGGTGCCCCCGCCCGCTGACAGCGCCCCGCAGCAGAATGGGTACGTCAGCCTCCGCCCGCCCACTGCTGTCCACTGCCCACGCAGCCCCCACGCCCGCTGCTCCGCTACTGCTCCGTCTGTGCTGCGCCCCAGCCTGGCGGGACCGTGCGGCAGCGACCCCTGGAGGACGGGGCTGGGCTGCAGGCACAGGGCCTCTCAAAAGGGTGTTGCTCCTATGCAGCCACTGCCCTCTTAGGGGGCTCTGGTCTGAGCCAGCGACCCCAGCCCCTGATTGGTGCCTGGGGTTGGGGTGTGGTGTTGGGCCAACTGAGCCACAGACACTTCAGTGCTGCCTTGCTCCCAGCTACTCTGACCCCTCCCCATCTTTCTTCCTCTCCTTGTGTCTGTCCCTTTATCTGTCCATCTATTTCCTTCACAGGTGCAGACCCCTGACAAGTCAGTGAGCCCCCCCTCTGCCTGTCCCCTCTCTTCCTTCCTTTTGGCACTCTGGGCAGTGGTCCCTCCCTACCCTGGCTTGCCCTCCTCCCTTTTTTCACTTACCTACCCACCCACCCAGCAGAGCCCTTGGCCTTCCCCTTCCCCTCTCTCCCATCACCATGACCCATGCATACCAAATCCTGGGAGGGGCTGCCCCTACTGCCCACCCAGAGCGTGAGATTCTGAGCCACACCCTCCCCACAGACAGCCGCTCAGACCGCTGGTCCCCGATGCCAGCAAGCAGCGGCTGATGGAGAACACCGAGGACTGGCGACCGAGGCCAGGGACAGGCCAGTCCCGCTCATTCCGCATCCTTGCCCACCTCACAGGCACCGAGTTCAGTAAGTGCCAGCTTGGGCAGGGCAGACTCTCTTAGCCCAAACCCAGGCTTGCCCCTCTGCCAGGGCTAAAGGCTGGGGTGATCCTTGTTTCTCTTGGTCAATGCCCACCTCTGTCTCTCAGTGCAAGACCCGGATGAGGAGAACCTGAAGAAATCAAGGTAAAAAGCCAGGCACCAGCCCCTCTCCCACCTCCCTCCTTTTCTATTCCAGCCACCACCCCTGTGTTTGCTCCTGGCCCTCCCCAGCTGGGACTCTCCCTTCCTTCCTTCCTTCCTTCCTTCCTTCCTTCCTTCCTTCCTTCCTTCCTTCCTTCCCTACCTCCCTTCCATCTCTCCTTCCTTTCACTTCCTCCTCCTCTCTCTGCCCCTCAGGGAAAAGTATGTCCTGGAACTACAGAGCCCACGCTACACTCGCCTCCGGGACTGGCACCACCAGCGCTCTGCCCACGTGCTCAATGTGCAGTCATAGCCTGGCCCTCTTGATAGCCTGGCCCCAGCAGCCCACCTGGCACAGGGCCTGGCTTCGTCTGACACTGCCTTTCCTCTTTGCCTATGTTAACTGCTTCTGCCAAGGTCTGTTTGCTTGGGCATGGGAAATAAAACATTTTCAAGCCATGTTCCTCTGGCCTTCTGCTCTTCTATCTTTGATTGGCCTGTATCAAATTTTGGGGAGGGAGGTTAGATGGTAAGTACTCAGTGTGTGCCCGTCAGTCTGCATCTCAGTGAGCAGGGGTACCTAAGCAGAGGACCCTGCCTTGCCAACAGAATATCTCTCTGGAATGAGGGGACCCCAGAGTTGCCTGAGGAGTGGGACTCTGCCCCACCTTTATACAACAGACCGGTTAGCTGAGACCTAAGTAGGAGAAGCAGTCCTTCAGTTCCTACCCCAAGGGTACCTGTTACCCAGCTCAGCTGCTCTCATGCACCCAGGCATTCTCCCTGGCCAGCTAGAGCCAAGGGTTGGGGGTAGGGCCATCCAGGCTTGAATGGCAGATCTTTGCGCCAGGGTCGAATCTTACGCACCAGATGCGCCATTTCCTCAAACTGCTCAGTACCCACGCAGTACGAATACTAACAACCATAGGAGCTTCGAACAAGGTTGGGGGGTAGGGCCATGCCAGGGCCTTGAATGGAAGATCTTGCAGCCAGGTGCCCAGGACAGAAGCCCCAGCCCCATCCTCAGCTGCACCCCAGGAACCCTGGCCTGGTAAGAGAATGGGCTTGGGGCTGGGGAAGGGTGGGTAGCCTTCATGGGCTTGGGGGTGGCGGGTGCCTCTAAACTGCTCCAGGCTCTACCTTCTGTCCTTTGGGGGTCCCTGTGCACCCCCCTGGAGCCACTGTCCTCGGCCCTGGCAGGCCCTACCACCCCAAGCCCCACCAGCCGCCCACCCTGGGCTGTGGACCCTGCGTTTGCTGAACGCTATGCCCCGGACAAAACAAGCACAGTGTTGACCCGGCACAGCCAGCCAGCCACACCCACGCCTCTGCAGAACCGCACCTCCATCGTGCAGGCCGCCGCTGGAGGGGGCACAGGAGGGGGCGGCAACAATGGCAAGACTCCTGTGTGCCACCAGTGCCACAAGGTCATCCGGTGGGTGACCCTTCCCTTCTACCCTGGCCTTTCCTGTCCTAAAGCCTGGCCCTGGCCTGTTTGCCCACACATCTCACTTCAGCTGCTACCACGGGGGAGAATAAGGATTCCGTTCCCAGCTGGAGTGGTGTGGGGACCTAACCCAGGCCCTCAGACTCTTAATCCCACATGACCCACAACACACCTGTAGCAGTGTTGGTAGTGGTGAAATGCAGGAAGGTGCCAGTGACATCCTGATGCTGCACCTTTGCACCCACTGCCCTCTGGTGAGGAAGGGCCCATATGCTCAGTCTCTGCTAAGCTCTCAGGGCAGAGAGACCAGAGTCTCTTACTCTGCACTGCTCCTGAGGCTTAGCAGGGTCACATGGGTTCTAGAACCTTCCTAGTTCTTAGCCCTGGCCTTCTCTTGTCTTCTATCAGCTCTTAGATGCTTTAGAAAGTACTACCTCTTTCTGACACCCCACTTTTCTAGGGCCTTCAGGCCCCTCCCCAGGCCTGATGAAGTGGGCAAGGGTGCCAGGGTCTGCTGAGGCACTCATCAGCACAGTGGCCCTCCTGTGCTTCAGCACCTCATTCCCTCGGGTGTCTTACTAGACTCAAACTATCAGCTTCTACTTAGTCTGGGCTCTAAAGTGGCTTCTCCTGTCATCAGGGCAGTGCACCGTGACAGAGCTGATTCCTTTCAAGCTTTTTCACTCTTGGCGTGTGACCTTGTACAAGTCACGCACCAAGCCTGTCTTCTATTTGGGAAAGGAACAGCATAAACTTTTCTGTGCAAGGCTTTTAATGGGTGTTCAGTTAAACCCCCTTGGAGCCCCTACCTCATTTGCATATGCATATGCTCCCTCTCACTGCCCTGCCTCCCTACAGAGGCCGCTACCTGGTGGCACTAGGCCACGCATACCACCCTGAGGAATTCGTGTGCAGCCAGTGTGGGAAGGTCCTGGAAGAGGGTGGCTTCTTCGAGGAGAAGGGTGCTATCTTTTGCCCCCCCTGCTACGATGTGCGCTATGCTCCCAGTTGTGCCAAATGCAAGAAGAAGATCACTGGTGTGAGTAGGGCTGCTGGTTGGGCGGGCAGGGAAGGTGAACCTTGAACCTGGCAGTGTTGAAAAGTGTTGCTGAACAACTGCCAGACTTAGGGCTCACTGCATGAGCTCCTAGAATCCTAAATAGCCTAAAAGGGCTGAGGATGTAGCTCAGTGGTAGAGTTTGCCTAATATACACAAGGCCTTGAATTCAATCCCTAGCACTGCAAAAATAACTCCAAAAAACATCCTAGCTAGGCGTGTATGCTTGTAATCACAGCACACAAGAGGCAGAGGCAGAATTAGGAGTTTGAGGCCAGCCTGGATTACATAGCAAGAACAGTGTCTCTGGAAAAAAAAAAAAAAGTTGGGTACCATAGCTCTTGTTTATATTCACAGCAAGCAACTAAGGAGACAGGGATTAGGACGATCTTGGTTTGAGGCCAGCCTGGGTAAAAAGTTAAGACCCCATCTCAACCAATAGCGGGGTTTGGTGGTGCATGCCTGTTACCCAGCTACTTGAGAAGCCTAAATAGGAAGATTGTGATCTAAGCCAGCCCAGGCATAAATGTTAGACCCTATCTCAAAGATATCTAAAGCAGCCAGATGCCAGTGGCTCATGCCTGTAATCCTAGCTACTCAAGAGACAGAGATCAGGAGACTTGCAGTTTGAGGCCAGCCCTGGACAAAATAGTTTGTGAGACCATCTCTCAAAAAAACCCATCACACAAAAGGGCTGTGGCTCAAGTGGTAAAGTGCCTGCCTAGGAAGCGAAAGGCTGTGAGTTCAAACCTCAGTGCCGCCAAAAAAAACCCCATAAAAAACCAAAAAACAATACCCAAAACAAAAAATGGCTGCTGGAGTGGCTCAAGCAATAGAGTGCCTGCCCAGCAAGCCAAACCCCAGTACCATCAATATAGATATATATGTATATACATATGTATATATTTATGTATATGTGTACATAGATATCCATGCATATATATATATATATATATATATATATATATATAAAGCAAAAATGGAAGTATAGCTCAAGTGGTAAGAGTGCCTTTCTGGCAAGCTTGGGGCCCTGAGTTCAACCCCAGGACCACAGGAAAAACCACCCTAATAAATGGATTGCTACTTGGAGGCAGAGCTGGGAGGATCTTGGTTTGAGGCCAGCCTGGGCAAAAAGACAGTGAAGCCCTCCATCTCAACAAATAAGCTAGGCATGATGTTGCATGCCTGTAATCCGAGCATCTCAGGAGGTGCAGGTAAGAGAATCAAGGTCCAAGGTAAAAACCCAAGACCCTATCTGAAAAATAGCTAAAGGAAAAGGGCTGGGGGCATGACTCAAGCAATAGAGCACCTGCCTAGCCAGTACAAGGCCCTGAGTTCAAATCCCAATTCCACCAAAAAAAAGAGAGAGAGGCCAAAATCCTGTTCAAAAAAGGCTTGAGCAAAAGCAAATGTAATAGCTGCACTCACTTGGTGAGGGCTCAACTGAATCCAGCCAGGGACCAAGGCTGTCTCGTTTGCCTCTGGTTCACTTGTGTTGGCTTCATTCCCCAGAGTGCCTTCAGGGTTCCATCTCCACAGCCTAGCACCAGAAGCAGAGAGAGAAAGTGCCTCTGTCCCAGTTGAGGTCCCAGTGCTGATGCTCATTGGCCTGGCTTGAGTCACGTGACCATTCCCAACCAAGTCTCATGACTGATTGGCCAGGCCTGGGTTATTCCCATCCCTGAAGCTGGGGGTAAAATGGCTCCACCTGAACCCTAGATGAGAGGGACGACTGGTTTCCTAAAATAAAACCAGGGTGACGTTACCCTACGAAGGGACGTGCTGGACAGGCCACGAGATGGCCACCATACTAAGTGGGATTGCATTTGGATGCAGAAACCCCACTACCAAGATTGAAACCGAGAGCATTACTTATTTCAGTTTCAAGAATTCACAGACTTGACAAAAACATCACACGCTGGAACGGTGGCTCAAGGGTGCCTCTTCCTCTCCCCTCCCTCCCTCCCTCCCTCCCTCCCTCCCTCCTTCCTTCCTTCCTCCCTCCCTCCTTCCTTCCTTCCTCCCTCCCTCCTCCCTCCCTCCCTCCCCTCTGCCTCCCTCCCTCCTTCCTTCCTTCCTTCTTTCCTTCTTTCCTTTCTTTTTCTTTTTTGAAAATCCCCTACTATAATGGGATCAAGGGTGTCTTTTAATCCCAGGCCTTTTCCACCTTTTTACTCTGTAATCCTTAGCATGTGAACCTTGTCTTCACCCTTATCACATCATGGTGGTTAGATGACCGTGAAATCCCCAGGCCTATGTATTTATTGTTCCAGGCAGGAGAAGGGGAGAATAACCTTTTTTGGGGGGAAGGGGGCACGCATGGGGACCAAAGCAGGACCTCGCACTTGCTAAGTACACACCTTACCATTTAGCTACACCCAGCCCCAAATAGCATTCTTCTAATAAGGTTTTGCTTTTGGATTCAAAGAAAAGTCAGGAACTGGCTCCCATCTTTATCTCACTGACTAGAAAACGGTTACATGTCCAAAAGAAGCAGAAACCCCTGAATACTTGTCCCTAGGCAGGGGATTGGTTCCAGGACCCCTGCAGATACTGACGCTCAACCTGTGCTCATCCTTCCATATAGTCATCTCCAAATTGCTTGTAATCCCTAGTCTAAAGAAAATGTTATGTGGGTAGTTGTCACACCGTACTGTTTAGAGAATAATGACAAATGTCTATAGCTGTTCAGCACAGGTACAGCTTTTTTCCCTGATACTTTTGATCCATCATTGGTTGAATCTGCAGATGCTAAACCCCAGATACTAAGAGCTGATTGTTTTTTAGCTCTTCAGCCTTGGTAAGAGAGGACAGCAGAAGAGAAGGGAGTTGTAAATTTTTGAGATGCCAGTCTGGAGTCTGGTGCTTCTAATGCACAAGAAAGCGGAAACTCTGGAAGATAAATTGACAGGTTTTAAGTGCACAGGACTACTGAGTGGCAAAGGCAGAAATTCAGACTCAAAATCCTGTGATATAAAATGCTATTTTTCCCTTAGAGGCTAAACACAGTGCCTAGCCCTACCAGGTTTCCTCATAGCTCCCACCGGAGCCAGGCTTGGGGCTCCCATCAGGGTGTATATAAAGCTTAGAATATTGAGCCATCCACCTTCACCACTCATTCTTCCTACTAATGTGGACAGTGTGCCAGGTAGTGTGTCTCATGCTGAGGACACATAGTGAACAAGACAGGTGTAGGCTTTGTCCCCAGATGCTCACACTGGGGGAAGGGATTTGCTGGGTGTCACAAGCTGATAGTTCTTCACCTCTGGGAGGAAAGGTGTCAGAACAGGCAGGGTTGAGAAGCTGAATGCATTCCTGTGTACATATAGGGGGAAATTGCCCAAGGTGACCAAAGTATGAGGACTGAGCCAGAGGGTCTTTTCTCCCACCTTGGGCTCTCTCCACATCCTTTCTAGAACCGGAGGCAGGGTTGCTAGATGTGTCCAGAGAGCTTTGTGATGGTCATACTCATAACGGTGAGAGTAACCATGACCACAGGGATGGTTCTTGAGTCTCAGCCAAAATGTCCACAGTCCAGCCACAGGAAACAGAAGGGACCCATAGCATTCATCTTTAGAGTTGTTATCACACAGCACTTCTGCTTGCATCCTATTGGTCAGAACCCAGTCACATGACCATAGCTAGCTGCAAAGGAGGCTGGGAAATGTGGTCTTTATTTGGGTCAGCCATACTTAGCAAAAATGGAGTTTCCATCAGTAGATAGAAAGGGCAGAATGGATATTGTTGCCGTATTATTATTATTTTGGTGGTACTGGGCCTTGAATTGAGGGCCTCATGCTTGCTAGGCAAGCACTTTTACCACTTCAGCCACTCTGCCAGCTACTTTTTGTGATGGGTTTTTTCAAGATAGGGTCTCAGGAACTATTTCCCCAGGGCTGGCTTCGATCCGAAATCCTCCTGATCTCTGCCTCCTGAGTAGCTGGGATTGCAGGCCTGAGCCATGGCCTTGGCCATCTTTGTTATTAAAGCAACAGGTTGTGTTTGCAGGGCACCTGTTATCCAGCTTCGTAATCATACTATGAGGTCAGTCTGGTGATTCCCATCTTATAGCTAAGGAAAACTTTACCCCAAATGACAGTGATTTCCTTGTCACATGAGGCCACAACTCATTGAACTGTTCTAGAAAAATGGGCTGGACCTCAGGACCTCTCTTCAGCTATGAATCTAGCTTTGTTCCCTGAAATCACGGTCATTCTGTTTTCTTTCTTGAGGTTTGAGCTCAGAACTTCATTGCTAGGCAGGCGCTCTGCCACTTGAGCCACTCCATCAGTCCTCATCCTATTGGTTGGCTTCTCTGTTTGCAATCTACCTGCACCTCAGATTCCCTCCCTCCAGCCCTGTGTTCATGCCACAGAACAGATAAGGCCCACAGGGCCCTGCCAGCTCCTAGGTCCTGGAGGATGCCTTGGGTGGCAAACACTGCTTCTGCCCCAGACTAGGCCATAGCTTCCCAGGGAGCCTCAGCTTCTCTCTTGTGTGACTCTAGACAGACCCTAGGGAGCCCCCACCTCACCCTCCTGGTAGGCAGGTGTTCCAGTAGGGGCTCTCACTGTCCACTAGTTCCTTGAAAATACTCCCTGCCACTGGCTCCATGCCCTGGCCACAGTCCAAGGACCCTACCTTGGAGCATGAGTTGAGGAAGACGGGGATGTCAGCTTGTTTTGGCAGAGTTGGCAGGAAGCTCCAGCGGGTAGGGTAAACATTAATAGAGACCCCGTCCAGTCTGTGTGTCATCTGAGGACCTGTGTGGTCTCAAGTCCAGTTGCTCACATTAAATCCGGTGCTCCTCTCATTCAGCCCCACTGTCCTCTCCATTTTGCCAGTGAGTTCTGTAACCTCCTTTACCTCACTCCTTCCTCTTCTGGGACTCAACTATCACTTCCTTAGACATGTGTTTCCTGGCACCCACTCTTCCCACCAGGCTTCGCCCTACACCTGAGTCCTTTTGTCCCACGTTGTGAACTCTGGACTGAAAACAGGGCTGTGTGTATTAAGTGCTGTGACCTCTACATGGAAGTTCCTCAGCAAGCACTTGAACAAGTGGATGGAAGTGGCCTCTTGAGTGGGACTAAACATGAGTAGGAACACAAAGGAGAAGGCTGCAAGCAGAGGGAGTAGCTCGTGTCACACGGGTCACAAGTCATCACCTGAGAAGGGTGTGAGTGGAGGCAGATGAAGTCGGCAAGGGCTGTGTTAAGAGGTTTGACGCTGTAGCGGGGAGAGGTCAGATGGGCCTCAGAAAGATTCCTCTGGGGAGGGCTGGAAGACAGCTAGGGCCAGGGGCCCCGGCCAGGACAGTAGCAATATCAGAGCACACAGATGTAACACATGCCAGGGGGAGAAACAGGAGTCCTAACTGTCGCACGGGTTCTGAATCCCAGCAGAAACCTGCCTCCCAGGTTGGGGCTCCAGTCCTGGCAGCCTACAACACTGCCAGAGCCCTCTTTCCCCCCAACAAGAAGCCCCATTTCATGCTGGCAAAGTGGCTCAAGCAGTAAGAGCGCCTGTCTAGCAAGTATGAAGCCCTGAGTTCAAACCCCAGTGCCACAAAAAGAAAAGAAACCCCATTTTCTTCACCTGGACCCCTTGGCTGCTCCCTTAAAACAGATTTTACACCAGGTGGTGGGAGGAGCCAGCCAGGTGTGGACATGAAATCCATTTCTGCCCTCTATAGGCTGTGCAAACTAGAGCATGTTGCTTTTTCAGAGCCTCACTAAGGTAGGGTGTTGTCACTCCTGGCCATTGTGGTTTCTTGATAGACAGAAGATGCGGTACAGATGTAGAGGGCAGAGCTACATGTTCACACTTTTATGTCTGAATCAGTGGTCATTTAAAAATCTGGGCTAGGGGTGGAGTTCAGTGGTGGAGTACTTGGTCTAGCATACACCAAAAAAAAAAAAAAAAAAAAAGGCCGGGTGCAGTGTCTCACACCTGTAATCCTAACTACTGAGGAGGCAGAGATCAGGAGGATTGTAGTTCAAAGCCAGCCATGAGCAAATAGTTCCTGAGACCCTATCTTGAAAAACCCCATCATAAAAAAAAGGGCTGGAGGAGTGGCAGTGGCTCAAGGTTTAGAGCATCTGTCTAGCAAGTATGAGGCCCTGAGTTCCAACTCCAGTGCTGCCGAAAAAAAAAAAGCCAAAGAAAATCAGAAGATTTCATGTTAATGCCTAGGTTTCAACCTGAGTCTTCTAGGCATTTCTAAATGAACAGTCAGCACCGCCACTAGAAGCAGGACAGGGAGCCTATGTGACCCAGGCCCTACCTGGCCCTTGTGGGAATTGGATCTGGGACCCCCAGCTTCAGATGCAGAGCCACAATCATAACAGCTGTGTAACCCTGGGATCAGGTCCCCAGTTCACAGGGGAAGCAGCCTTGACTTGCGAGAAAGTAAAACTGTTGGCTAAGTCCCACACTACACTGCCTCTGCCTGCTCCAGGCACTGTTAGGACAGATCCACTAATAGAGCAGGATGCTTCTCGTCCGCCCAGCCTAAGATTTTAGCTGGATGAGTCGGGGAGAGACAGACAGTAAGCAACAGACACAATAAGTAAATTACCTGGTAGGATGGCAGTGAGATGGGTGTTATGGAAAAACAGAGTAAGAGGTGCCCTGAGCATGGCGGTGGGGAGGCAGTTTGAAATAATCACTGGTGTCAGAGAAAGGGACATTTGTGCAGAAACTTGAAGAAGGTGGGGCAGAGCCATCCAGGCAGAGAGGACAGCCACAAGATGGAGATGTGTCTAGTGTGTCAGTGACAGGCAAAGAGGCCAGTGTGACAGGATCCACGTGAGACATGAAGGGAGCAGAGGGCAGACCTGCTGGCTGCTGGGCCCTCTGGGGCGTAGTTTTTATTTGGACAGATGGGAAGCCAAGAGGGTTTTGAGCAGGGGATGTGGCCTGGAGTGCCCCGTAGAGGCTCACTGTGGCCCAGCATAGGGCAAAGACCAGTTTCATGTAGGCACTGGGGCCAGGCCATAGATCCAGAGAAGGCCGTGGCTTACAGCTCACATCAGAGAGACTGTGAGAAGCCATGGGAGGCTAGATATGTGGGGGGGGTTTTGTTTGTTTGTTGGAGGTTTGAACTTAGGGCCTCACACTTGCTAGGCAGGCATGCTACTACTTGAGCCACTTCACCAGCTATTTTTCCTTTCTTTTGAGACAAGACCTTGCTATGTAGCCCAGGCTGGCCTTGAACTTACTATGTAACCCAGGCTGGTCTTGAACTTGCAGTCTTCCTGCCTCAGCATCCTGAGTGCTGGTGTTACAGTGTATAATGCTATGCCCAGCTGGATGTATCTTCAAGGTGGAGCCTGCACGATTTACTGGTGGGCCTGATGTAGGGTGTGAGAGAAAAGGGAACTTGGGCAGAGCAGATGGGACGGTACAGTTACCATCATCTGTGGGAGGGGCAGGTTCAGGGTAGGGAAACTGGGTGCTAAGTTTTGGACGTGGCAAGTCTGGGACCAGACAGGTGGAGCCCTAGGTGCCATGGATATGTAGATGTGATATTTACTAGGAAAAGGACGAGGGCACAGGGCTGTGTCCTGTGTTCTGGGGGGAGAGGCTGAGCCTGATGGAGTGACTGTGCCCCCCAGGAGATCATGCACGCCCTGAAGATGACCTGGCATGTGCATTGCTTCACCTGTGCTGCCTGCAAGACACCCATTCGCAACAGGGCCTTCTACATGGAAGAAGGGGCACCCTATTGTGAGCGAGGTATGGGGTGCCGCAGAGCACACAAGGAAGGATTGGGGTGGGGATCAGGAATGAGCCAGACCCAGATACTCTTCTCCATCTCTAGACTACGAGAAGATGTTTGGCACGAAATGCCGAGGCTGTGACTTCAAGATCGATGCTGGGGACCGCTTCCTGGAGGCTCTGGGCTTCAGCTGGCATGACACATGCTTTGTGTGCGCGGTGAGAGCCTGTCCCTTGTGCTTGGGTCTTGCACCCAGTGCCCTCTGTTCTTCACCAAGTGCACTTCTACCTCCTGCCTGTGGGATGCATGAGAGATTGGGAAAGGGCCTCCTGTTGCCCCTGACCCCATGTGACTAGTCCTTTACTGTCCCCAGATATGTCAGATCAACTTAGAAGGAAAGACCTTCTACTCCAAGAAAGACAAGCCCCTTTGCAAGAGCCACGCCTTCTCCCATGTGTGAGCCCTCTAGCCCACTACTACTGTGGCCCCACCCGGCCTGAAGAAGAAGGGGCCTGGAGTCATCACCCCCAGCATTTCTGGGAAGGGCTGGCAATGGCTGCCCCAACCCCAACTCCTGGCTGGAGCTTGGGGTTCCCTGGACCCTGTCCCACCCCTTCACTTCCCCACACACCCTTTCTCCACCTCCATCACACACGGTGCTCCCACACCTGTTCACTTGTGCCACAATAAACCTGTGTCCAGTTGTGTGCTGTGTGCCTTCCCCTGTGCCTCAGGAATGCTGGGGTTGGAGGCATGCAGCGAGTGGCCGTTAAGATGGTTTCCTTTGCTGGCCATCTTGCTGGTACTTCCAATGAGGTCATGGAAGTCACAGGGTCACTGGACCCTGGGAGGAGGACCCTGTATGGTGGGCCCAGCGTCCACAGATGTGAGGGGAGTCACTAGCCTCACCTGCCTCAAGGTTAAAGTAGAGGAGCTGGGGTAGATCTCCAGAGGTGAGGCCCCAGGTACCATCCTCCATTACCATCCGTAGCCTGGAGAACTAGAAAAGAAGGTGGGTCTGGAGAGGTCAGCCCCTGGTCCTGGGAGGCCAAAAATGCCAGGCTGAGGGAAGGCAAGGTGGGCACAGAGAGTTCAAACTATTGAAGGGACCAGTTCTCACTTCTGTTGTAGAAAGAAGCCCCAAAGACTGTGTGCCGGTGGCTCACACCTGTAATCCTAGCTACACAGGAAGCAGAGATCAGGAGGATCTCAGTTCAAAGCCAGCAAATAGTTTATGAGACCCTATCTCGAAAAAAACCATCACACTGGGGCTGGGGGAGTGGCTCAATTGGTAGAGCTCCTGCCTACTAAGTGTGAAGTCCTGAATTCAAACCCTAATACCACCAAAAAGAAAAAAAATTTTTTTTAAATCACAAAAAAAAGGGCTGGTGGAGTGGCTCAAGATGTAGGCCCTGAGTTCAAATCCCAGTGCCACAAAAATAAAAAAAGATGGGACCCAGTGACAAGACCCAAGAAGCCCAAAGCAGGGGCCCAGGAGATAAGAGGTAGGGAGGACAGCTTCACTAGGCATCTAGTACGTAGCAGGCATTGCTTACATCTTCTCATGTGATCATACCTGCCCTGGCAAGGCGTCTGCAGTTACTCATTTTCTAAATGAAGCTTAGGAAGGCTGGGATACCACACCAAGGTCACATAGCCTCTGAGCCACAAGACAGACTGAAAGCCAGGCCGGAAGCAGGGTGCACTGCCCTGAGACGGGCTGGCCCTCAGTCCCTTCTGGGGAGCCCACTTCTGCCTGGTACAATGCAGACTGGAGTTTTGGTGGTGGCGTCATTCTCTGGGGCTTCCTGCTTCCCACTGGTAATCTCCAGCACCCTAGAAGGACTCACCTCTCCTGTCCCAAGCCTTAATTGAAGAGAGACTGAAGAAAGGACCCAAAGTAGAAGGCTAGGACAACTCAGTGTGACCACCTATCCTTTGTAAATCCCTGGCATGAGGAACCACTGGCCTGACCACTTCAGAGGGTAGCCCCAGGTTCTGGGAGGCCTACATGTTGACCTCAGCAGACTTAAACTGATCCCCTTAAGAGAAGGGACTTGTAGTGTTGTCTTGGACCCTTGGAGAATGAGGGTACAGTTTTGGTATCATTCCAGAGTCTAGAACAGTGCCTGCCATATAGTGGGTACCCAATAAATGTTTGTTGAATGACTGAATGAGGTGCCTCATTCAGGGGACATTTAGGAGACCAATCCAGGAAGCTGTTGGGAGGTTCAAGTCCAGATTCACCTCAGATTCAATTCAACAATGAATTTGGGACGGAGTCAGGGCACTCAACATAAATACATGTAATTGATGCCTGAGGATAGCTGGGGAGCGACCTGGCAGGTAGCATCAGGGGTAAAGCAGGTGGGATGTAGTTTTCTTTCAACCTCTATACACAGGGCATATTAAACACAGAATGTCTTTTGCTTCACCAAGGATATGTACTCTCTCCCACTTCTGAACCTCGAAGCCCTCTCAGTCCATCTTCTGTTTCCATGGATACAAGAAAGCAAGAGCACTGGGCGGATGGCGATTGCTGCTATGAGCCGGTCTGGGAGTAGCTACCCCTCAGCCTGAACCAAGGGCTGTGGTGTGGGAATGCAGCCAGATCTGCCAGTTTATCCACAGCATGCAGAGCCTCTGATTTTTATGTGAGAAATTTGTTTTTACTATTGACAACTATTTCACTTTTTTAAATCCTGTTTAAAAACTAACAAACATGGGCCAAATTCAGTGTGAGGCTAGCAAGGGCCTCTCATAGAGAACTGACAGGGACCTAGGACATCAACATCACAGCACTGGGCAGAAAAAGCAAGGGGAGTGGCCAGAGATGGAGACTCACAGCCTCCAGGGAGTTCCGGGCAGAGAAGCTGCAGCAGGCCAAGAGTGTTTCCAGAAGTTGCCAACAATGTCAACAGACAGATAAGACTGAGGAGTCCCCATGACATTTCACAGCAAGGTGACATTTGCCAGATCAGGTTAACTGAGAGCTGGGGCGCTGCCAAGGTTAAAACAAACAGGCTGGGGGAGATGGTGAGGATGTGGAAGGAGAGTGCAGACAGCTCTTTTAAGAGGCTTGACTGTGGTGGACCAGGAGGAAGTCACTGTCAGGGTCAGCTAAGTGCCAAGACAGAGATGGAGGGAGGAACCTGGGAGGTGCCTGCCAAAAGAGGGTTAAAGGGCTGGCGGATGGAAGTGGCTCAAGCGGTACAGTGGCTGCCTAGCAAGTGTGACGTCCTGAGTTCAAACCCCAATACCACCAAAAAAGATTTTTAAAAAGACGGTAGCTGAAGATGAATTGGTATTGGTAGAATGGGGGGAAGAGGGACGAGGTGGGGACTGCATCTTGGCCACGAGGAGCTGGATGGTCACCCCACACCCTATGTTGGCAAACAGCAATCCTTTATTTTTATTTTTTTGACAGCACTGGGGGTTGAACTCAGGGCTTGCGCTTTTATCACTTGAACCACTCTGCCAGCCCAATCCCTTACTTTAAAGGTGAGTGATACTGCAGATGGAACCAAGGCTCAGAAAGACAAAAGTGACCTATCAGGAGCCACCCAGCTAGTGTGACCAGGAACTGCTGCTCCAAGGATTGAAGGCAAAGGCCCTCCCACTGAACCACCCAGCCCCTCCTGTGCCTCTTCCCCCTCCCCCGCCACTGCAGGGCTGCCAGGATCACAGTGTTCCAAAGCTGGTGGGGGCTGTGGAGAATGGAAATGAATGTCCTTGTGCCAGGCAGGGGAGACCATTAGCACCCTTGGAGAGTGCAGAGTCCCCAGCTGAGGGGGCAGAGCCCATGGCAGGGGACTGAGTGGGCAACCAGAGAGGCAGCAGGCAGAGGAGGGGCTTGTTCCAGTTTAGCTCATTTCGAGTCAGCAGGAAGAGAGGCGGTGGAAGGCGAGCCACCATTTCTCCAGAACTGGTGATTCTGTCACTGCCTCTTCCCGGCTGGGCCCCACATGGCCTTGGTACACACATAAGGTACACTTAGTGTCTCTCCAAGCTGCCTTGCTAGAGAAGGGAACCAAGGCATTAGACTAAAGGGCCTGGTGGCAAGCCCCCCCAGGGAGCTACAGATCAACTGGAATTTGAACTTGACCCAAATCTAAAGCAAACCCTGAGAACCGAAGAAGAATCTCTCTCCAATGGGAGGAGAAGAGAAAAGGCTTAGGAGTGGTCATGATGGAACAAGGTGAAGCTTCCTGACTGATAGCCTATGGAGAATTCAGGAGGCCAGGTATTTGGGAAAGTGTGGGGATGTCACTTTAGAAAGGTCAGTGAGGACCCTGGGACCACACTGTGTTCCTTTGCTCAGTGATAGGAGCACTAGAAGGTCAACTCAGGTTTTACTTATATCCCTTGCCGTTGACAAAAATGACAAGTATTTGGGAACAGGTTGCTGCAATTCAAACTACTTTAAATAAAATATGGGGGTAATTTACCTGAAATAGTTATTGGCTTCAGAAAAGGCTGGATCCAAACAACCATGGATGTCTCCTGGAGCTCTTTCCATCCCTTGGGTCTGCTTCCTTAGTGCTGGCTTTATCCTCAAGAAGTGCTCCCCACTGTGGGTCAAATGGCCCCCAGAAACTCCAGGCCCATATCCTGCCGACTCAGCATCCCCACTGGCTTCAGAGCTTTAATGGTTCCAGCAAAATTTCCAAGGCTGACGTCCATTGGACTGATTTGGGGTTTAGGTCCATCCCTGATGTAGTTACTGGGTCTGGCCCACTAGGCCTGGATCACATGCTTCCTTCTGGAACCTACAGTGAAAAAATCAGCCAGAAGACAGAGCAGGGATGCTAAGCAGGCCTGGCTACAGATGTCCACTGCACTTCCCTCCATGCTGGGTGTCCCCTACCCCTTGGTTTCCCTCCCAGACCTTCAGCCTAGCCTCAAAATCTACTTCTGACCAAACTCCAAACCAGTCCAGGCCCTGGGTATGGAAATAGAGGTGCTAGAAGAATGAAGGGGGAGGGTGTGTGCTGTGCTGATGTGACATGGGACAGACCTGGGTTCCCATGAGACTTTGCTACTTAACAGCTGTGTGCCTCCAGGCAAGTCACTGCCATGTTCTGAGGCTTGATTTTCCCATCTTTAAAATAACATGTTCAAACCGCAGCCCCACCAAAAACAACAAACAAACAAAAACTATTGCTGGGCACCAGTGGCTCACATCTGTAATCCTAGCTATTCAGGAGGCAGAGATCAAAAGGATGGTAGTTCGAAGCCAGCCCTGGGGCAAATAGTTCACAACACCCTATCTTGAAAAAAACCCATCACAAAAAAAGGGCTGGCAGAGTGACTCAGGCGGAAAGAGAGCCTACCTAGCAAGTGTAAGGCCCTGAGTTCAAACCCATGTGGGAAAAAAAAAATAGTATTTATAGACATCTTGTGCTCATACCTGTAATCCTAGCTACTTGGGAGGCTGAGATCAGGAGGGTGATGATTCAAGGCCAGTTAGGGCAAATAGTTCATGAGATCCCCATCTCCAAAATAACCAGAGCAAAATGGACTGGAGGTGTGGCTCAAGCAGTAGAGCGCCTGCTTTGTAAGTGTAAAGCCCTCAGTTCAAACCCTGGTCCCACGAAAAATAGTAACACATCCATAACACCTACTATGCATTGTTACCACTATAAGTACTTTCCAGATACTCTGAAAAGCCACTAGTCTAAGGTCGCACTATTAGCAGGACACTGCA